TATAAAATACAGATATTAAAAAAATACTAAAACAAACTATAGAACCACTAAATATTAAAACTTAATTACATATTAAAAATACATTAAACCGAGAATTAAACTTAAAAGTGTTTTTTTTTTTCTCCCTTTTAATTCTGAGAACTTTTTTATAATCTCTTTAACAAAAATTTCTTCAGCCAGTTCATGTTCAATGGCTATTGTTTTCTCAAGCTGTTTAGACGATTCTCGGTAGTTGTGGAGCGTAAATTTTTTTTAATTAATTTTAATTTGGAGAAACTCCTTTCTCCACTTGCCACACTTATTGGGAGAGTAAGCAATATTGTTAAAACTATACCGAAATTTAGAGCAAAATCCAAGTTCGATATGAATTTTAAAATCTCGATTGGACTTTCTTTTTTATTCAGCCAAGCCAAAACCGCTACTATCTCATCTGCCAGGTCCAGAGCATTTGTATCTGATGAATTCCCATAAGTTAACACTGTTTCTAGATCTTCACAATACTTTAGTACATCGTTTTGAGGAATATCTTTTAAATCACAAACATTGTATAAAAATTGGAAAGTAACTATGCCTCACACACAGGTGCGCGAACAATATGCGCAGATGTCAGAATTTGAGAGAGGTCATGTAGTTGGGCCAAAGAAGCCGGTTGGTCTTATTGGTGAATAGCTTGGCATTTGAGCAGGAGTGATGCCACTATTAGACGATGTTGATAGGAATGGGTGAACCATGGCCACACACAGTGTCAAGAAAGAAGCGGTAGGCATAGAGAAATGACAGTACGTGAAGAACGAGCAATCGTCAGAGTGGCACTCACAGCCCCAGATGCATCATTATCATCGATTGTATGTGCAACTAGTGCTTTAGTGACCGCAAGGACCATTCATAGACGGCTCACAGAAAGGGCGCTGAGGTCACAGCACCCCTTGTGCTGACTACCATTGACCTCTGTACAACGTCAAGCCTGTTTTCAGTGGTGTCGGGCTCATTTGCACTGGAATGTCACTGACTGGAGTAGAATAGTCTTCAGCAATGAGTCCCGCTTTGAACTGAGCCCCGATGACCAGCAAAGGCAAGTCTGGAGATGCCCCGGACAGCAGTGTGATACCAACCTGACTGTCTTCCGGCAAACAGGCCGACAACCAGAAGTGATGGCCTGGGGTGCCATTTCATTTCATAGTAGGACCCCTTTGGTTGTATCCATCGCAACCTTACAGCACAGCGGTACACTGATGAAGTTCTAAAGACCGTTGTGTTGCCCTTCATGTCACGCCACCATGGGCTTACATTTCAGCAAATAATGCCTGCCCCCACACTGCACATGTTTCTAGTGCTTGCCAAATATTACCTTAACAGCAAGGTCGCCAGATCTCTCTCCTATTGAGCACGTTTGGAGCATTATTGGCAGAGATCTCCAACCAGCTCGGGATGTTGACGATCTAACACGCCACTTGGACAGAATCCCTCAGGAGGACATCTGCAACCTCTATCAATCGATGTCAAGCCGAATAAGAGCTTGCATAAGGGCCAGAGGTGGACAAACGCGTTACTGACTTTTTCACTTTGTAAAGCTCTATCAGTTCAATAAATCATCCAATTTTTCTCAAACTGTAATCATTTGTTTTTCTGTACATGTACATCACTTCTAACTAATTTTTAATTTAGATTTCAATGAATCTTGGTTTATTTTCCTCATAAACTAGTTAATTTTACAGCCAATTAATTTGCCGCCTCCTAAGGTTGCCACCCCAGACAGAGGCCCGGCTTGCCTGCCCCTAGCGCTGGAAGGGTCCCACTTTATTTAATTTTTTATATAGGATTTTTTTCATATAATGGAGTGTGTGTTTTTAAAAAAGGAATGTGTAGTGCAATTCACATTAACACTCATGATAATGATGTCAGTTAAAAGTGGATTTGCCCAAATACGTATGTACTAGGAGAAAGCTGTGGGTCTTCCAGTTTGTGTAATAAACAAAAATTGTAAAATATAATAATAAAAGTAAAACCATAATTGCAACCATGCTATTCCAAATGATAAAGCATTACTTGTAAATGTGAAAATTAGTATAGTATAAAATTTTAAGATTTATGATTATTCATAATAATTAATGAGTGTAGAAAAAGTTTTGGAAATACTTTCCTGAAGTATCAAAATTGTGATACAGTACAAAGTCCGTAATCCGGACTTGTCGGGACTTTGACGATTCCGGATTAGGGGTTTTTCCGGATTATAGATCATCAATGTAAATCTGGTAAGATGGCATGGAGAAATTATAGAATTAAAAATATGAAACCGTAATTTATGAAATAAAGGGCAATTATGATCTAAAAGGTATAAAATTTTACAAAAGAGAAGCTTAATATTTATTTGTTTACTTTATTAAACATTTCTTCCAACGCGCGCATGCGTTATGTATGTGCATTCTCTACCCGCACGCGTAAAGTTTGTGGCTTTGAGGTCCGGATTATAGATTATTCTGGATAATGGACGTCTGGATTACAGACTTTGTACTGTATGAAAGTTCCAGAAACAAGAACGTTTTACAGATTGGACTAAAATTTGAAGAGGACTTTAAAAATCTGCAATTTTTTAAAAATAATATAGTGCTTGAAATTATTTTTGAATTCAAAATTTTACATATTATAATTTTATTCTCCAAAAGTTAGTTAATTTTTATGTTTGCTAATTTCAAAATATTTCTCATGTTTTGCTACTTTAATGCTATTTTTCTCAAAAAGGCTTCTCTATCACTCTGCCTTTTTCTTTTTTGAAAGGGGAAAATGTGTAAGGTAAAAAATATGAAAGCAAACTTCTAAATTTAATTCACTATAACCTCTTTTATTTCATTTGGAAACTTCATCTATCTCTCTAAAAATAGCGCTTAAGTCTAAACTGCATCATTCAAATTAATCATGTGATCTTAAGTAACCCTTCATGCAGATGCCTCGACCAATCACCAAATTGTAAATCAAAACTAAAAACTGACTCCCTCCCTTCTTTCTATGAACCGACACGTCACTTTTACTTGTGCTTTCCTCTTGGCCAAATGTCTTTCTGCAATTATGTGTGTGCTGCTACTTTCGCTTCTATGGCAATAATATCAAAATTGTAAATGTTCTTAAATAGGCATGAGTGGAGTGCCAAGTGAATTGTGGCCACAAAATGAGAATTTAAATAAAAAGGGAATCTAATACAGTTCGACTGCTGCTTCTTCAAAAATGGATGGATGCTCTAAGCATCAAGTATATTCGCAATCAGCATTTCTGTGCATAGTGCTTCCAAAATAATCAAATAAATATAATTCCAATCAGCATTTCTGTGCATAGCGCTATTATTACACACATATATATATGTATATATATATATATATACACAGGGTATCCATAATTAGAGTTGAAATTTGCGAGCAGTCTGTAGCAAAAACTATACAGCGAAATTACATGAAAATTGGGTAATGGCAGAATGAAATAATGGGAATTTTATCAAGAGAAAAAAAAACACAATGAGCTTCAAAAACCACTCCTAGGTGGTGTATCATAGTTTTAGTGAGAACGTATAAATAATCTACAAAAGTTTACAAAACATGCTCGATAAGATCTTTACCACTGTCTGCTACCTTCTGGAAGCGTAAAATTGCATGTTCGACTATTGAAAGCAGTATGAACTGGGAATATTATGCACATGGCATTCTATGCTTTCTTTAAGGTCGGACAGAGATGTGATAGGATCATGGTAGACCATGGCCTTGAAGTATCTGCACAGATAAAAGTCGCAAGGAGTCATATCTGGAAATCTAGGAGGCCAAGCTGTAGGAAATTGCCGACTGATGATTCTGTCATCACCGAAATGGTGGCGAAGCACTTGTTTCACACAACGGGCGATGTGTGGAGGAGCACCATCCTGCATAAAAACTGTGTTTGTATTATATAGCCTTGCCTGAAGAGGCAGAATAACAGATTACTCTAATAATGAAGTATATCGCTGACCGATGAAGGTGAATGTAACAGACCCTGCGGTGCTGTGCTCTTCGAAAAAAAAAAAAAAAAAGATCCACAATGAAGGTTGCAGTAAAGCCACACTAAACCATTACCTGAGAAGAGTATAATGGAATTTGTAGGAATTGATGTGGGTTTGTAACCCAAATATGGGAATTGTGCATGTTACCCGTACCTTCCACACGAAGGTGGCCCTCGTAGGTCTGTAAAACGTTCCTTGGCCATTCTTTCTGGAGCTCAACTCGCGCAAGTAACTGCAATGCAAAAGTTTTTCGACTATGCAGATCAGCTGGTAAGAGTTGCTGCACTATCAACAATTTATACAGATAGTAGTGTAAAACACTTTGAAGAATCTTATGAACCGTGGAATGAGGTTGGTCAATGGATGCTGCAATACACCAAACACTAGTGCTGCCGATGATTTACGATCTGTCTTCCTCCACTTGCACCACTACATCATCCACTACCTGTGCTGCAACACACTTTCGTCCCCTTCCTGGCTGAGTCCCCAATGTTCCCGTTGCTTCAAATTTCTTAATCATGTTTTTTAGTCCTTAACTATTGAGTGGACCTTTTCATAACCGCTTCAAAGACCGAGATTTTTGCAAAGCTTCAGTAGCAGATACTTCATTTTGGTAACACTATTTTACCAGTAAAGCACATTCCTGGTGTGTCAACATTATTGGAACTTGACTTGAAAACGAGTATGACTGCTGCTTGCCTCTCGCATCCTTATAGAGTTGGTGTGCACGCATAGGATTGCTATGGTTACGACATTTGCATATGCCAATAGTTTACATTGCACAACGTCATCTAGTGGTGGTTTTTTAAACTCGATTTTTCCCCCCTCGATAAAATTCTTATCATTTCATTCTGCCATTAAACAATTTTCATGCAATTCTGCTGCATAGTTTTTGCTACAGACTGCTTGCATATTTCAAGTTTAATTATGGGCACCCTGTATATACACATATTTGCAGCTACTACTAAAATTTTAAACTTACCCTGAACTCTCATTGCAATGGCGACAGCAACATCAATGGAGTCAAAGGCAAGATGCCGAACTGTTATTTGTGGATCTGTGCATCTCGGAATGAGAATTCCAAGAATAGTTCCAAGTGTGTTAAATGGAGCATATGCCTATAAAAACAAGAGAAACATCTAAGTAGAATTCAACTAAATGTAATAAACTATTATAATCTATTAAAAAAATATACTGCTGACCACCCAAATTACAACACCAAGAAAGACAAGAGATATCACAACAAAATTTATTTAGTAGATAACATGTTGACCACATATCAAATGATTAAATTTATAGACTTCTGTGAAGTATGGTTCCTTCCAGAATCAGTAGCCAGAGTAGCCGCCAGTGTTGGAGACCACTGCTGCCACACACCTCGGCACTGATTCAAAGAGACTTTGGATGTGTTCTTGGGTTACAGCAGACCAAGCAGCTTCCACACGTTGCCAAAGTTGATCTGGTGTGGCAGCTTGAGATGTAATCTGGGTCAAACGTTTTGCAACCATGGACCACATGTTTTCTATCGGCGAAAGATCCAGAGAGCGAACCGGCCAGGGAAGCAATTGAATCTGGCTATTGACGAAGAACCCTTGCACAATGCGTGCCACGTGTGGTCGTGCATGATCCTGTTGAAATATGGCTGTGGGCAAACTCTGAAGGTAAGGAAGGGCAATTGGCTCCAAAACCTCGGAGATGTAGTACTGGCTGTTTAAAGTACAGGAATACGTACTAGAGGAGAGCGAGAGTGATATCCAATACCGCCCTTAACCATAATACCTGGTGCATAACGCAGCTGTTCAGCAGCCTTTCTCCACGGTGTCTCTAGACTCAAACTCAACCATCGTAGCGTGACTCGTTAGTAAAGACAATTTCATTCCATTCTGCCATCCACATCTTTCTTTCATCGCACCATAGGCGGCGGACGCAATGGACGTCTTGTGGACAGACCAATCTACTGCAAACAGAGTCGAATGGTATGTGCAGACACTGGATGATGCGTTACAGACTGAATGTGCTGTGCTATGGTTCGTGATGTGACTGAGCTATCCATCACTGTCATGTGCACAATGTTCCTGTCATCACATGAAGTGGCGCACTGAGGTGGATGCGATCGAACACGTCGGTCCGTCGTACCCTCCTGCATCCAAATTAAAGTTGTCTGGTTTCGTCCAACATGACTACCGATTTCCCTGAAAGATAATCCACACTCTCCCTAGGCCCCTATCTTTTCACTGTCAAACTCGGATACTTGATCAAACGATGATCGCTGTTTATTACAAGGCATAATTGATAATTTTTTGGGGAAAAAACACAAGAAAAACACAATTGCTGAACTTGAAATTGTCGGAAACTCCAAGCCTTAAATAGCGCTTTGAAGTGGCACCACAGGCACACGTGATGTGCATCTGCGCTGAAATTCTAATCATTTGTATATCTCACCTCCGCTAATGCATAATGCATACCGCTAATGCATAATGCTCCGCTAATACCTCACCTCCGCTAATGCATGTAGTACATTTCATGTTATTTGCATGCTTCCTTCAGGGTGTTGCATTTACCATCTTTAATGTACCAGCAGTGTACATAAAGCCTCAAAATAGCTTTATTAAAATTGACAAATATAGAAAAGCATAAAATACCAAATACAGTTAAAATAAATAAATAATATGATGTTTACATCACACGACTTCCTTGTATGGAATATTAAAGTTTAAGGTAATAAAAACATTTAGCAGAATTAGCAATAGAAGCTCCCTAAGATTATATACTGTGCAGACATAGAATACAAAAATTTTAAAACTTAACCGATTTATTAACAATATATATAAAAATAAATATACAATAACTAAATTTAATCAACACCAGAAACTTAAAGAGTGTAACATTATCAAAAATTACATTTAGTTGACTATTCATTAACCCTAAGGGTTTTTCCTTTAAAGAATATTACACTATTAACGATACAGCAAATATATTACCTGATCTTTGAATTCGGCATTCAATACACGAAAAACATATCACAGAACAAAAACTACGCGGTTAATATGAATTTCACTTCACTATAAATAAGTCCATGCTTTTTGGTCAAGAAGGCACCTGAAAAATTAAACTAAACCTTGAGTGCACTTGAACTGGCAAAAGCTGTTCACTGTAGTTGCTCACAAGAGATCACAGCCTGGAATTTATTGCCGCCGAACCATAGAACAGGTTGCCGCCCACCGCAGTTGCTCACCGGAAATCACAGCTTGGAATTTGACGTCCCTTAACTATGGAAACAGGATGCCACCCACGGCAATTGACCACCATGAACCACAACTTGAGATCTATCGCCGTCGAACCATAGAAACAGGATGCTGCCTACGGCAGTTGCTCACATCATAGCCACTTTGCAGAATTCAGGAAAATTCATCATGGACTGGAGCCACAGTACTTATCGCTGGACGGCACGCATCGCAATAACATCTTCCAACGAGCGCTGGAACGGCACACCAAGGAGCAATGAAACAGGAAGCCTTAGACAGTTCTATATTACCGAGCTATTGCAGGTGCAACGTTGCCGGTTCCTTAAATTAAGCCCAAGGGCACAATGACATAATGAATTCAGGAAATGGAAAACATCTCAGATGAGAAAACAGAGAAAGGAAAAGTGAGATAGGTACCAAAAGGAAAAAGACCAAAGGCATCTAGCAGGTGAACGGAACTTGACAAGATGAAGAAAACCGAACGGATCCTTCCCAATTCAGAGAAACGACAAATGCAAAACATGGTTGAAAATGCTATACAACTACAACAAAAGTTCAATACAACTATAAAACTACACAAATTCAACCCATATAAAAGAAAATCAATACACAACGACTATTACAACATCACATTAGCAATCCAAATGACTTGGAGTACAGCACTGTCTGCCAATGCCAATGATTAAATTGCGGAGTGCCTATGGTTCAAACCATGTACCTCCTCATCAGAATTACATAAAAGTGAGCAGAAATAGGAAAATTGCATAAGTAGTAAACTTGATGCTCAATAGAGGGAGCCACATGGCTTGAGAAAGTTTAGGGATAGCAAGAATTTATAAAACTTAAGAATACATAATTTTTTGTAAGTTTTTAAGGCTCATTGGCATGTGGCATACAGTGGGAGTGCAAATAATAAAGTTAACGCGAGAAAATATTCAAGGCAGAATTAAATTCTGCAGAAGTTGCAATTCTACAGGGAACAAAATGATAATTTTGCCTAATGACCACTTCTCAGGTTGCAAGAAAGGATGATGGTAAAGTTTGGCAAAATAAGCAACAACGTGGCAGCTCGCTGAGGGGACGTCCTTCGCTCACGGGGCAGCATCTGGAACTGGTGTTAGAGGAGCGTGTCTACACCTTTTAGGTGGTGGGTAAATGCCGTAGTCCAGAACAAATGATGGCTCTTGGTCTCTTTCGTGAGCTGTGAATAGCTGAGTCGTCAGCACTGTCTGTATCAACGATGTGATATACTTATACCTGAAGTAGACATGATGTCATCTCATGGCAGCCAATCAGCTATCGGCATGACTCAGCTTTCCAGATGACGTAACATCCAAGTTTCGTTTTTGCATCTTAATTAGGCTGGAACAGTCCGTTCCTAATACAAACAGTGGCAGTGAAAAAGAAGTAGAAGTAATTGCTATATACCTTTAAAATAAAAACTAAACCTTATGTAAAAGTTAGAATTATTTCAAGGAGGAGAGATGATGCAGAAAAAGGATTACAATAGGTCATATTTTCAACAATCTCACCTCCGCTAATGTATGTGTAAATTTCATGTTATTTGCATGCTTCCTTCAGGGTGTTGCATTTACGGTGGCCAGCAGTGTATAAGGGGATGAATGAAAGCTGATTGTACAATACAAATTTTCAAAATAACAAAACAAAAAGCAATAAAAGGCAACTTCTCTGAATGGAGGTCAAATTTAATGGTTGTAAAGGATGGTTATATTTCCTTAATTTATAATGCTTTCCTTTGAGAACATTTACCCACAAAATATTTATCATCTTCAATTATTAGCCTTAAAGAAATTATTTTTTATTCAGAATAATTTCAGAAGCCACAAATGGATATGTACTAAATCAAAATTTGTTCACTCGAGTTCCTCAATACCTAAACACAATAATACAGTAGTTTGCAAGCTGTTCTCCCCCATGCCCCATTATATATCTGAAAAATGAGTGAGGACTGAGCATGCTGAATTTGAAAATGAGAGTTGATTGGGAAAAATTTAATAGATATCACATAGTACAGTCAAAAGTCGTTAATTCGGACACCCATAATCCGGAATGATCTATAATCCGGACCTCAAAGCTAAAATCTTCCTGCGCATAGGCGTTTACGCATGCGCGCAAGACCTTTACGACGGCGCATATGCATCTGCGCAAGCGCAGAATACGTTTTTGTGCGCGCATTTAATGTATAACATACGGTATAAGCTAAAATTATCTAATTATCTATTTCAGTTTATAATTATCTACTTCAGTTAATATTTGATGATTGCGTTGTTCCTTAATCTTTAAATTGTATCCGGCTTATTATTTTTTGCAGACTGTAAGAGCAATTTTATAAAAGTAAGCTTGAACTTTTGATTATGTCAAATAGAATTTCCGATGCTGGAGCCGGCGCGCAATGAACTGAAAGTTGATCTGTCAGCACTATCGTTATCTTCAGGGCAGATGTTTTTATTTTATTCGGCTTATAATTCCTTACTAAATGCAGTATTTTATCTCGATGTACTCCGTCTTTGATATGATTTAAATCAAATTCCTCGTCATTATAAATATCACGAATACAAATCAAATAATTTTCTGGTTGCAATTTTCTAATTTCGGCTATGCGTAATGTATGCTTTATGAATGCGCGCGTTGAAAGAAATATTTAATAAAGTAAACAAATAAATATTAAGCTTCTTTTTTGTAATTTTTGATACCCTTTAGATCATAATTGCTCATTATTTTATAAATTACAATTTCATATTTTTAATTTTATAATTTCTGCATGCCATCTTACCAGTTTTAAACTGATGATCTATAATCCGGAATCGCCGAAGTCCCGACGAGTCCGAATTAAAGACTTTTGACTGTATACAAAATGAATTGAACATACTCCTTCGACACTGAAAGTGTCGAAGGAAAGATCATTCATTGAAACACTAACAAATAGTGTTTCAATGAATGATAGAATTTACAATTAAACTGAAATTAAGGCAATCTCATATTAAGCGCAAAAACTCAATTCACTTCCGAACTTTTTTGCATAAAGTTATGTAAGCAATGAAAAATGTGTAGCCCTGCACGACTCTGAGAACAGATTTCAAGATTTCATAGAATTTATTTCAGTGCATTTACTATTCCATTTTTAACTGATATTAAAGTTAGCTGTAAATTGCAGATTTTTGCCAGAAAATGCATTCCTTGACCTATTTATGCTGGACTAAAAGTTGTATCCAAGTTAACTATCTAAGTTGCGATGTCTGAATAATGGCAATTTATTGACATTACTTTATCAATTAAAAGTCAACATAACATAATTAGTAGCTTAAGTGCTTTTTCAAAAAGTACTAATCCTATTTTAATTTCTTTTAGCTGTAAAATATATAATGGGAAAGGCAGTACCAGAGTTGAGTATATTTAGTGTCTTCCTTGAAAAAAATCTTGCTCTCCAATAATAATCACATGTGTTATCAAGCACAATCTTGTTTTCTAATACAGTATTGATGGAATGAAATTAAGCAAACTACATCTTCTAAGTGTATTTACTTATTGAATAAGCTACATAACACAGCAGACACAGTATCTTGAATCTATTTTATATTTCTCTCCTTTAAACATAAAAAATTACCAAGAGTCAATAGAAATTAGTAGCATTATACATTCCAATTTAAACAATTTATTCTATTTCAATTAAATAGAATAACCCAAATCAAGCACTAATTCAAATAATGACAAAACTAGCTGTTTCACAATACACCTACTAATACTTCTTTGCATGCTGTGTTCCTATATTCAACTAGTGTCATCTATCATAAAACTTAACTTATATCCTAACTATATAACTTATTATAAAGTAATTAAACATACATTCTTTTAATTTTACAGACCATTTAAAATCAACAGGAAATGTTTTCAGACTTATAATAATTACTAAATTATTTAATAATTTATTATAAAATTATAATATTGCAAATTATTTTATAATTTAGTAATTATTTTAATGAAAAACTGACTGAACTTATTCATTTATAGTAGCATTTAAAAAATGTATTAATAACATAATTGCTTAAAGCTACATAATATCTTACATCACTTCCAGAAGCTTCAGCATATGATCGAAGAAGATGCAAAGTTGAATGCAAACATCTCTCCCTCTCCACAGCATTTTTTGAAATCATATATGAATGAAGGATCTAAAACATAAGATCTTTTTGTGATACATAATACTTAAATTATTCTATTAAGTTAAAATGTTATTAATTATGTTGAAAAATTATAAATTTAGGACTACATTTTATAATCTGGAACTTTGTATTACATATATATTCTTGAAAGGTTAATAAGAATCTTATCTATTATATCCTAAAATAAAGACTTATTTACATAAAATTCCTGTGGCCAAGAAACTGTTTATTCTGAATATAATATCTAAGAAAATGCATAAATTTTAGAGAAAATAAGCAACTTTCTATTAAATTTTTGGCAAGGCATCAATCGATACTTAGTAGAAATGGTAATTTTTTAAAAATAAATCAGAAGAATGTGGACAGTGTAAAAATGGTGTCATAAATGAATTAGAAAATATGGGTCCTCATAAAGGGTGTCCCAAAATTAATGCAAAATTTGAATTAAATAAAAAACACAGTTTTTTTTAAATTGATATTTTTTATTGAATCATAGAGTATACACACGGGCAATAACACACGAGCAATGGAATAACACACGAGCAAATGGCCTCAACGGCTTTGCTGTCACATACTCACACTTGTCGAAATTTTCCATGATCATTTCGCATAAATGTGGCTGAATTTCGTTGATGCAGCACTCAATTTTATCCTACAGTGCTTCAATCGCATGCTTGTCGGCCTATGTTGGCATAAACCTTTAACTTCAAATAACCCCATAAGCAGAAATTTAATGGTGTTAAATCACACGTTGGTCATTAAGACATGCATGCAAAATTTTACATTAAATTAAAAAAATAAATAAATAAAAAATAAAAACAAATGTAAATCAAATTTTGAATGGCTTGTTTTACAACTTTATATTGACACCTATATGCAGTGTGTGTAGAAAATTTGAACTCAATCACTTATCAAGAAATAGTTGACATGGCATAAGATAAGATTGATGATAAATGTTAAACTATTGCAACAGACACCATGAATGCTTATAAAAAGCATTTTTGTAGGTGAAACTTGCACATCCCAGTTATACCAGTGTGCTCTGACAACTTTGAGTGGATTATCTGGTAGCATATAGCTTATTGTATGACAGTAATGTGTACAAAACAACAATGAAAATGACACTCATTAGCATGAGTTATGGCCAAGAATCCAGTGTTGTCCAAACTTGAGGTTGAAAGATGGCATCGAAAATGTGGGTAGTATGGTGGCCTCTGACAGACGGACGGCATGCATAATGAGTAGACATGCTGTTAGCAAAAGAGTTCAGGAGTGCTTGTGGAAGTCCCACCCACTCCTCCACCAGAGCAATTTTTAACTCCTCAATGGTTCTAGGTGGAGGTTGGCGTATTGAAATACAATGTTCCCTCGCCACTCTGCTCTTCATGTTTCACAGCTTCAGTGCTTTGCGGATTTTTCCAAAATATTCATCAAAAAATAAAAATGTAAAAATACAACCAAACGAAGAGATGAGTTCACTCAGAGTACATACCACGGGCTGTCATAAGCGCACGTGATTGGTTCCCGGTGCGACATCGACCAATGAGAGTACGAGTGGATTTATCCCTGTGAGTTGATTGTCTGCGCATTATCGCAGCCTCACTTAACATATTCTCTTGTTGTATCTCGCCAGTCTTGTCCAAGATGTTGACTGTTTCATATACTATATTTTAGTGTTGTGTTGGTGATAGCTTTTTTTATTAATTAAGCCCTTATAATGCCACCCAAGAGCTGTGCCCCTGCGAAAGCTTCCTGCAGGGCACCCAAGAGGAAGAAGATGATGACCATCAGCGAAAAAGTAAAACTTTTAGATATGATCAAAGAGGGCAGAAGTTATACATCTGTGGCACGCCATTACAGGGTGAATATGGAAGCTGCACTGGCATTGTGGATTGCTGATTGCAGGAAAAAGACAGTGAGTTTGCACACTAATATGATCAGGACAAAGGCCAAAGCTCTTTACGACCAAATCTTGCCCAAGGACGACTATGAAGAGGGTGAGGAAGGTGCTGAGGAACCTCAAACCAGTAATAGTGCTGCCAGGAGTGATTCGCCTCCACGAGGACTAGGCTTTTCAGCCAGCAAAGGCTGGTTCGAAAAATTTCAAAAAAGATACGTACTTCAGAAAGGGAGGCTACCTCCCTGAACAAGTTTTCTACATGGATGAAACATGCCTTTTTTGGAAGAGGATGCCTTCGCATACATTCATCTTCAAGGACGATGAAAGAGGCCAGGCTTCAAGGCTCACAAAGACCATGTGACTGTCATCATGGCTGGCAATGCTGCAGGTTTTATGCTTAAGCCAGGTCTTATTTATAAAGCCAAAATTCCACGGGCTTTAAAAAACAAAAATACAGCTCTGTTGCCCTTGTTCTGGATGCATAACTGCAAGGCCTGGAGAACGAAAGCTCTGACCCTTGAATAGTTCCTCCATTGCTTCATTCCCCAGGTTAAGCTGTATCTGGCTGAAAAGGTGTATCTGGCCTTTAAGGTCCTTCTCCTGATTTACTGTGCAGGAGGCCATGCAACGGACTTGCAATATGAGAGTGTGCAGATAGAGTTTCTGCTCCTGAACACTACATAATTCAGCCAATGTATCAAGGTGTCTTTCGTGCCTTTAAGCCACTCTACACTTGCTCCACGATGGAGGGCCTCATCTCGGCAGTTGACGATGCCAATGACGAATTCACCTTGAAAGCATACTGTCACAGTTACAACATTGCCTCATATTTGTCTAATATTCAGCAAGCATTACAGGACACAAAGAGTGAGACCATAAATTCTAGCTGGAAGAAATTATGTCTGAACGTGGTGCATGACTATCCAGGCTTCACTCCAGAAGAAGTTCATCATTCAGCAGTGGAGAAGGCGGTGAGGCTGGCTCATATCATAAGGAATGAAGGATTTGTCGACATGACAAAAGAAGACCTCAGTGCCCTTATCGATTGCCACTTGGACCCACTGACCGATGAAGACCTCCTTGAGATGACAAAGTCTGGAAGTGAGGACGAAAACGAAGAGGAAGATGAAGAAGAAACTGAAAAGCATGGCCTTACCTTTGAGAATCTGCAGCAATTGTGCAACATGGCAAGAGCGATGCAACAATTTGCACAAGACATTGACAACAATATGGTTTGAGCTGTCGAGTTCAGCAATCACATTGACGTGGTTATGCCCTTGTACAGGGGAATTTTGAAGGAAAAGTAAAAACAAAGACAACAACTACCCATCACCATGTTTCTCTCCAAGGTAAAGCCCCCGGCTCTACCATTAGCACCTACAGCAGAAGAGTCTTTGAGTGAGCCTAAAGCTTCTACGAGTCAAGTGAGAACCTCTCTCCGCCACCAACACAAGACTCTTCGCCTCTCTCAGAAAGCAATGTTGATTAGTGTTTATTACTGTATAAGTTTTTTAATTAATCTTATTAATTAGCACTGGTACGTTTAAGTAAATACATATATTGTTGTAATTTTTGTCTTAAATGTGCAAAGTATAAATACTGTTTACATATTTAAAACATTCTTGTACCCGCATACATGAAAATTTCTAGGGGCAAATCCTACTTTGCGGTTTTTCAGCTTTCATGGAAGGTTCTGGTCCCCATTAACTGCGAAAAACGAGGGATCACTGTAGTTCTCTCAAGAGCATTCAAAGCATGCTCAATAGGGCTGAGGTCAGGAGATTAGGCTGGCCAATCCATTCGCTGAATATCCTCACTTCCAGATAGTTAACAACCAGGTGGGACCTACTGTCATCCATAAAAATGAACTCAGGGCCAACAGTATCCCTTTTGCAGATATTGCTCTAGGATCTTCTTCCTGTACCTCTGGGTATTCATAAAACCAGTGTAAGACATGGAGCAGTGTATGGGTATCTATCATCACCCTACCCAGACCATCACTCCTCTTCCATCCCAATGGTCCCTTCCCATGATGTTGCTGGGATGGCATTGAGTCCCAGGTATTCATAAAGAGATCATTAGCCCACTAAAGCTATGTCCAGTGTTGGTGTTGTATGCACCATCATAAATGCTCTCTTTTTTTGGGAGGGAGTGGGATGCAAATAGTGGGCTTTCTGACATACACTCTTATTTCATGGAGCCTTCTAGCAATGGTTTTCCTTGAAACTGCTGTTGCTGTGACAGTAGCGAGGTCACAAGACAGTTGCGTGGCTGTAGATGTCCTTTGGCACTTGACTGAAAGTACCAAATACTAGTCATCATTGGTCATTGTGGCTCTCAGGCAACCTTGTCCTGGTCTTCTGCACATGGTCCCCCTATTTTTAAACTGATTACACAAATTAAACATGACACTTGATGTTACATCCAATTCTCTTGCACCAGAACTTGGGTCTGCCCTGCCTCAAGCCTACCCATGATTCTCCATTTCACACTTTTGTCTAAGCAAAGATGTGTACTCAATTCACCTAAAAACAGTAAGGTTCAAGAAAGATAATAAAAATCACAACTATATTCCACAACAGAATGAGCTGAGCTGGACGCAGATTTTTATACCTCCTGTTGGTATAATGATGCCCACCAGGAATGTATATACTCTTTCCAGCATCACAGTAACATTCTATGAACACCACCTGTTCAGGTTTTGTCTGGTATTTTAGGAGAAATGCGGAAAATGTTTTTCATCTCCTAATTTTGTTCATCAGTGTGTGTGTGTGTGTGTGTGTATATAAAACAGTACTTTTTTTAGTTAACCAATTAATATGCACTGTGATGTAAAAGAATATACACACTCAGAAAGAACTGAGCTACAACTATGAAATTTGGCAACAGTACAATGTTCAAGTAGATAAACAAATGATCAAAAACTGAAGGTGGAAAAAAATGTTTTATTAACAAGTAGCAATATAAAGAATGTGAAAAACAGTAGGTGGTAAAGTCACCCCTGGAGCTTTACAAACCATTACCAGCAGTAGATGTGCCATAAATGGAGCAACTAGTCAGCGAATTGGAGCATATTTGTAAAGGGCTGAATTTGCCTGCCCAACATGTTTGAAAGCCGACAAGTCAGGAGACTTGGCAGGCCAGATGAGGACATTAACACATTAAAGACATTGTTAGGAACATCGTGTTGTATGTGGCCAAGTGTTGTCCTGCTGGAAAACAGAACCTAGATGATCTGCTACCATAAGTAGTACAATCAGCTGTAAAATGTCATCATTGTATCTGTAAGCAGTCCAAAGTATTGTATCTGTAAGCAGTCCAAAGTATTGTATCTGTAAGCAGTCTAAAGTATTGTATCTGTAAGCAGTCCAAAGTATTGTATCTGTAAGCAGTCTCTATTGTTCCTCTGTAAGCAGTTCTGCAAAGTATTAGAGTACTCCGCAGCCCCAGACATGTATGCAATGGTCATCAGCATCAAGAGAATATTGGGCACTGTCCAGCTTGAGCGACAGTGACACCATGTAAGATGACACTACTTATGGTGCAGTGTCAATGGCAAGTGTTTCAATAGACATTGACATCTGAGCCCAGCATCACTCAGTCTTTTGTGAATCGTATTGCTGGATATTCAGGATCCCTGAAAGTTGGCAAATAGTGTTGAATCCATAATAGTGTAAATGTTGGTGCAGACGTGGCAGCTCTTGTAATTGCACGATTATCTTGTGTACTGGTGATCCAGGAACATCCTGAGTCACAATAGTGGCTGACTATGCCTTCACAGAGCCACTAGTTTCTACAACGGACAACAAACATATCACTTTGACTAACATGCTAATATCGCCTGTTCCACCAATCACCACTCTTAGCCCTATTAAGTGACCCCTCTCAAAGACTCATAACTTTTCGCAATGCCATTAAGTACATCTTAAAGGCGCCTTTCATTACAATGTCATGTATGCAAACCATCAGCATGGTTTGTAAATGCTCCTCACTTGTCGCACCTGCACTTTTACATTCTACCAGCTGTGCCCATCAGACACACGTTGTATCGCTCCACAATGCTGACTGGTGCTGCAAGTTTAATCATTTACAGAACTCACCAAACCATATTTGCATGTTGCGTTTTGTAGTTGTGGCTCAAATCTTTCTGCTTGCATACATTTTTTTACAGCAGAGTGTGCTTTTATGTCAGAATATTATAATATACTAAATTGTACAAACACCAATTTATACACCTTAAAACTGATATGCATGCTGACTAAATATTTTACATGTTTAATTTATATCACAATTTAAACTAGTCAATTTACATAATTAAGAATTAAATACAGAAAAAAACTGATCCTATTGCATGTAAAGCAGTCTTTGACATTAGATAAATTGAAATTAAGTTTACTCCAACTAAAACACAAAAGGATTATATTAAAATGCTAATTTAAATAATGATTATTTCTACTGCTAATATATTAAAAGATCAAATAATAGAAGTAAGAATTTTAAAGCATTCACAAGTTATGTAATTAAATGAAACTTACCAGGAGGATATGTTCTAAATTGTTAAAGTTCTTTTCTTTCAGTAATAACTTTTGCAAAAAAAAGTTCAAAGCATCAACTGTAGAAATCAAAAGCTGATCAAAATCCAGTGATGGATCAATACCTTCTTCTTTTGGCTTCTCTAATAAATAATCACGTGGTAAAGAGTAAACAGAACCAACTGCAACTAATACAATACTCCTCTTCTCTTCATCTTTTAAAGCAGGATCCAGAGCACTGAGTTATCATTAAGGTTAAATAATACATGCTGCATTTACATCACTAAATTTTACACTCAACAAACTTTATTATACTTGTTTATATTAAATAAAAAAGAAATTAATAAATCAGATATTAACTCAATTTATCTTTATTCAGTAGAAGATTCATAAGAATAATGGGATATTTAGTGATAAACAGAAAACTTCACACTTGTGGCTAGCACACAAACCACTATTTAACAGGTAAATAAACAAAAATGTATCCCAGCATTCAAGCACATAATAATTTGATACTGGTACGGCTAAATACTGGACTATTCTGAAGAATAATTTATTGCAGATGCTTGGTTAATTCACAAATATCTCAAACATCAAATAACAATACACATGAAATAACACATTTTTATATGCTTTTCATTTTGTCCATAAGTGTAAGACAGTATGTTATTTCATGAATATTATCATAAATTCTATGGTAGACAATGAACAGTGACAAATAAATGTGGCAATTCTTATTTGTCCCATATTAAATCAGCTAATTAAAAACAGCAAAATGAAATATACAGATTTTTGTAAAAGGACACAACAGAATTCTTTTTCTAATGCACTGTTATACAGGGTGTTTATAAAGTGCCGGACCTATTTTGATGTTTAATAACTCATAAAATAATGAAGATATAAACAAACTTATGGCATTTATTGATGGAATAACTTATATATTTCCCTTTTCAGGTTTGAATATCTTTACTTTTGTAAATATTGTCTGCATGTGTGGTTAATTTCATTTTCCAGTCTAAATATCTGTACTTTTCTAAATATCGTCTGCTTATTAATTGCAATTTTCTCTCTTTTGTTTTTGGCAACTATTGCAATATTATGGGGATCTGAAAACCCCCATGAATACCGTGAGGCACAAAGGGATTTCCCAAAGGTTAATGTGAGGTGTAGATTAATGCACGACCGAGTCATTGGGCCTTTCTTTTTTACGGAAAAGACGGTCTCATAAGTCATATACTTAGACATGTTGGAAAACTTTGTATTTCCACAACTAGAAGAGCTTCAGCCACATGTCTTTTTGCAACAAGATGGTGCACCAGCTCATAGGGGTACCATCATTCGTAGTTCTTTGAATGACCATTTTACAGGAAGATGGATTGGGCGAGGAGGTCCAATTCCTTGCCCACCCACATCACCTGATATAACGCCGCTGGACTTTTTCCTTTGGGGATTTGTAAAGAACAATGTTTACAGGATGAGAGTGTCGAAACATGATGACCTAAACCGCCAGAATTGCAAACGCAATAGCCTCTGTGTATGCCGGCATGATCCTTGCCGGTACCTGGACGTGAAATTGAATATCGACTTGATATTCTCCGTGCGACGAAGTGGGCACACGTGGAAGTTCATTGACAAGGGTTATGAAACTTTTTGAGTCTATCTAACCATTTATGTTATTATTTTAATCTGTCCTTATTATTTTATGAGTTATTATACATCAAAATGGGACCAGGACTTTATAAACACCCTGTATTTTACAAAAAAAAAAAAAAAAAAAAAAAAAAAAAAAAAAAAAAAAAAAGCTCTGAATCTTAGAGACAGACAGGTTTTCTGATGCATAGATTGTTTGGAAGAAACCTACTAAACTTATAGATTTATGAAGTTGACATGGAGCAATCCAAACAAGTCAATGTTACATAATAGTACAGGATTTATATCATAACACATTTCAGGATCATGTGTATTACCAAATGCATGGCAGAATGAAACAAACAAATATTCTCTCTCTGATCATCAGGCACCTCCAGAGCAATACTGTTCAATAAGACATTATTCCCATAAAATTAGAGCCATGATAAATGTTTAAAGTATATAATCTAATCAGTAAAGACTGCAAATATGTTTATAATTCAAAACAAAAAGAAATAATGGGATAAAAAACCATGCTTTCAAGAAGAGGTCTCAGTGATCTTTATGACATATGACAAGCAGGTTACTGCCTCTCTAGAAAGAAAAACATAAAAAAGGAGAGTTGCTGGTTCAGTTATATAAAATGTTGCCTTGTTGATAAAGACAGTATTCCTTCCTTTTGAGAAGGAAAAGTAGTAGATACCAATGAAGTGGGAAACTTGCAATAAAACATTCCTTCACAATCCACTTCACTTCACAAGGTACGAAATACATATATTTGTGTCTTTATTGATTAGCGTCTACAGCATTCTGCAGATATTACAGCCATGAAATGATTTCCCATTCATTGTACATAAACTCTTGGACATGAATCTTAGAAATGCTATGAAAAGATCCATATGGAAGAGAGGTTCTCAACCAGAAAGGAATTTCAGTTTCAGGGGGAAATGTTGCCAGACTTATATTTAAGTTTGGTATTTACTACCATTTTCTATACTTTTTGTTACTTAATTTATAAATGTTAGAAATATACTATAAGCAATCTAAATAGAGTATATAAGGGGTACCTAAAAGAAACCAGACTAATTTTTTGGCGGGCAAATCTCTTGTAGTACTGCATTTTGCCACTATGGGTTCACAAAGTGAACAGTCTTGAGTCAGTAAGCCAAGTGCCATCACTGAAGTAGATCAGAACAAGTTTCAGAAAGTTCCTTAAAATATCAATATAGATAAGAAAGAAAAAATTTACATATATTATAAGTGAAAATACTTCAGAACCATACATTTATCATTAGATGTTAAAATGCCCAAATGTGAAATTTCTGCATTTGCATTTGTTTAAAAAAAAAAAAAAAAAATATTAGAAGAGAAAAATTTTGTACAACAAGCATTTTTAAATTGTTACTGAAGATCAAAATATGCCTTAATATAAAAGAAAAATATAGTACAGCACAAAGCCCAAGATCCGTGCATCTAATATCTGAAATCCGAACCTCAAAGCCACTACCTACCTTCCCCCTTTCTTTCTTTCTTTTTTTTTTTTTTTTTGAATGCTTTATGCATTTGCATTTGATTTTCCCCACATAACAAAACATGCGAAGAGCCCTTATTCTTAATTCCCCTTTGGCACTAAATAAATACCTCATTATTGAAGAAACAATCAATTTAGCATAAATTTGTGTGATCAATCTGTGTACCTGCTTGGCATAGATCTCAGACCAAAACATTCTATATAGAAACACAGTTCATTTTACATAAACTATTACTTTATGTCTCTGAAGCCAACCTGGTGAATCATTATTTATTATATTTGGCTTTCATCACTGCATTTTATCAGCACATGACAACTTATGTAGTGACTCAAGCAGCAACGCCTAAACATTTTTATATATATTAGTAATTAAATAACAAAGATCTGTTGACACTGCACTTGGAGGTGATTGCAGATTTAAGTTAAATACGCTAAGAAATATTGACAAGGAAAAATTTAACAAAAATGGCTTTCCATATGCTAAAATAGATTTTGTTAATGATATTCACATTAAAAAAGATTACATTTAGTGCTATTTGAATTAAGAAAAACTGATGTGTTATTCACATAAACACAGAACTTATGACAGAGCTCATATGGCAGCACCAAGCGGCAGAAATTAGGGACGACAAAATTTCTGGAATTTAGAGAAGCACAGAGCAATAAAATTAAGGGATGGCGAAATTTTCAAAATTTAGAGAAAGCACTGAGGCCCAAAATTCAGGGATGGCAAAAAATTTAGAACTTAGAGAGGCATTTGTTAGCAGAACTTAGGACCCACAGAGATTGCATCAGGTGGTAAGATATCTAGCCCCTGCCTTGGCTAAGCCTTAAGTATATGTGAGAATTTATTTATTCAAGACACAGATAAGCTTTAAATATGTGCCAGAAATATACATAAGTATAATAAATAACTAAAACAAAACAATTCAGACTTAATTGTCTCAGTGCATGAAAGAAGCAAGACAAAGTTTAGTGAAGTAACTTGTCTTTCATTGCCAATCTTATGATAGCTGATACTGAAGCTGCTGAACTATTTGCACATGAATTCATTGAACTCACCAATAGTGAAAAGTTATCTCAACAGATTTACAATGCTGATGAAACTGGTCTTTTCTAGCAATATGTACCTTGGCAAACTCTACAGAAAAGGCTCCAGCTGGTGTTAAAGACTCCAGAGTGAGACTAACAATTTCAGAATGCACAAATGCCTAAGTGCAAATTTTTCGTAATCCGGGGGGGGGGGGAACTGAGCATTTAAAGGCGTAAAGATTTTCCCTATTATATATCATGCAAATAAAACAGCATGGATGACACAAGCGCTAATGAACTACTGGTTTGAAAATCATTTCATACTCGAGGCTTAGAAACATTTGAATTCAATTGATTTACTTGATGACTCAAAAATTATCCTGATTGTAGACAACTGTACGGCTCATACTTTACTTAACGTTTGAGTGGAAGATAATGTACCCATATTATTCTTTTCTTCAAATTCTGCATCCATCATTCAGTCTATAGATCTCGGAACCCTGCACGAGCTGAAGTGCAAATACAAAGTAGCATTTTTAAAGTTCATATTATTTCTTTTTAATAATGGCAAGACTATTCAAGAATTTTTGAAATATTTTAGAATAAAATCACTTGTGTGGAGCATTGCAAGACCGTAGATGTGTTTGAGTGGCAAAAAATGTACCAATATTATTCTTTCCTCCAAATTCTGCCTATAGATCTCGGAATCATTCAGCCTATAGATCTCAGAATAGTGAGTGAACTGAAGTGCAAATACAAAGTAGCATTTTTAAAGTCCATATTAATTTTTTTTAATAATGGCAAGACTATTCAAGAATTTTTAAAATATTTTAGAATAAAATCATTTGTGTGGAGCATTACAAGAATGTAGATGTGTCTCCAGATACTTTAAAAAATGCTTGGCATAATTTATGGCCACCTACATATTTCATGGTGGTGGCCATAAATGCTGCTGAAGGCTGCTGCTGTGGCTGCTTAAGATGGTAGCTGCAAATTTGAAATTTTCAGGTATCACAAAACAAAGGTGAAATTTTCCAATTAATGGATTTTGTAAAGAAATGTGGAGAAGCAGTAATGAATGAAGATGACATAACAGAAGTTTTCTATTGTGATGACAATGCCCCAATCCATTAACGGATGGCGAAATTTGTAGTATGGTTCTAAATACGGAAAATATTGCTACCGATAGTGGAGAAAGTGACAAGAGAAGTTATGGAAAATGAAAAGATTTTGATTGGCAAGTTTACAACGCTAGTCGGAATTCTCAACACAGCAATTAAAAGACCCTGAAAAACTTTGTAACTGAACAAGAAATTAGATCTATCTATAGAATTAAGCAGAAAGTATTAGCACAAAAAAAGGAAGCAATTTAAATAACTTTGATTAAAAGAAATGTTTAATAAAGTAAACAAATAAATATGAAGCTTTTTTTTTTTTTTTTTTTTTTTTTTTGTAAATATTGATACCCTTTAAGATCATAAATACGATCAAAAGTCATTAATCCGGACTCGTCGGAACTTCGGCGATTCCGGATTATCGATCATCAGTTTAAATCTCGTAAGATGGCATGCAGAAATTCTAAAATTAAAAATATGAAACCGTAATTTATGAAATAAAGAACAATTATGAATTAAAGGGTATCAAAATTTAAAAAAAAAAAAAAAAAAAAAGCTTAATATTTATTTGTTTACTTTATTAAACATTTCTTTCAATGTAAGTTGTTTAAGTTCCTTTGTTTTATGTGATAATACTTTCTCTTTAATTCTATAAACAGACATAATTTCTTGTTCAGTTACAAAGTTCCGCTGTTCAAGTCCCGTAATTGCTGTGCCGAGAATACAGACTAACTTGTCAATCGAAATTTTTTCGTTTTCACTAACCTCTCTGTCACCTTCTTCATGTCTTTATCCATTTTTTGCAGCAATTCCACTTTTTGTTTGACGGACATCGAAACATACTTTCGTTTTGTAGATACTTAGGGAGCTCCAGCATCAGAAATTCTATTTGACATAATCGAAAGTTCAAGTTTACTTTTATAAAATTGCTCTTACAGTCTGCAAAAAATAATAAGCCGCATCCAATTCGAAGATTAAGGAACAACGCAATCATCAACATTAACTGAAACAGATAATTAGATAATTTTAGCTTATACTGTCCGTTATACATTAAACGCACACGCAAAAACGTATTCTGCGCTTGCGCACACGCGTATGAGCAGTTGTAACGGTCTTACGCGCACGCGTAAACCCCTATGCGCATGTGTCAATGCGGCGCTTTGAGGTCCGGATTTTAGATTATTCCGGATTATGGGTGTCCGAATTAACGATTTTTGACTGTACTTCTTTATTTCCTAAATCATGATTTCATATTTTTAATTTTATAATTTCTACATGCCATCTTAGTAGATTTAAACTGATGACCTAATATCAGGAAAAATCCCAAATCCGGAATCACGAAAGTCACGAAGAGTCTGGTTCTCGGACTTTATAATATACTGTAATAAATTATTGCTGCTATCATTCATGATCATCATTTATTAGTTATAAGTAAAAAATTAGAACAGAAATAAAATTTTAAAAAAATAACATCGTATCAATAACATGTAACTACCAGGTTGAAAATAAGGATACACAAGACTAGCAGCTGCATTCAAAGCCAATGACCTAATATTACTAGTTAATGGTGCAGAAGTTTCAGATTTCAAAATGCCCTTTGTAAGGTTCAGAAGTTCCATTCTAGATCGAAATTCGAGCTGCTCTCTGAGATGATCAGGATGAACAGCATCTGCAATTAATTTGACAGTTTCCAACATACTTTGTTTCACAATTAGCTCCTGCAAGAAAAATGTATAACATTGTTTACAGTGACAAATGAATAAGAGATAAAAAAAAGTAACATATTTAAATGCAGCATTTGGTTATTTACATATATAAACACATTGTTGCAATAGATGTAAACATCTGCACTAATTTATTTTATTTTATTTTGCTAAATTTTAATTTTTATCTATGTCACTATATTATGCAAATTTTATTTAATTAATCTAGGCATTATTTTACTGTAATTTTTGGTTTAGTTATTGCATATTTTGTGCAATGTTTAATTTGAGTGTGCTTACTGCATTTCTACAGGTTTAACCCTTTCAAGACTGATGAGACAATAGATCCCAAGACAATTCTTATAAATACTGCTGGTAGATCTCATCCTAAATATAGCTATATTGCAAATACTTTATTCTTTTGCATGTATTAACCAGTTCGCCGTTAGGAAAATTGCAAACATTTCGTGCCATTTTTTTGCGTCCAAAGGTACACTTTTTGTGTCTAAAACTGGGCTCAGAGTATTTCTTCCCCCCTTTCACCAGCTGTGAAAACCTATTTAGAAGTTCTGTTCAAATCAGATTGAACAGCGTACCTGTCACACTGAAGGATGCTGAATAACAATCGCCTAAGGAGCAACATAAAACACAAAGACTGGTGTAGTCCTTACAGCAGATATTTTTCCCTTTGCACCCAACCGCACTTCCACTTCCTGCACCCAACCCCAAATCTATTGCAATCTATTACAATGAAAATGTAAAGTAAAAGCTTTATTTAAAGTAAAAATAAGTGCATTAGCTAGCATTTGAAATGTTCTTGAATTTTGTTTTATTATTTTCTTCATGACCTGTAACAAAAATAGTGATCGAATTATTTCTCGTATATTTTTGCATATTTAATTAAAAGATTTACTTTCTTTATGTGATAAAAAGATCTTTCTTTAGCTCAGATATTTAAGGCTCTTATTAAAAATTGTAATTTTTTAATTTAGAGTTTTTTTAATATATACTTTTTCTACAGCAAGGAAAGTTTTAATTATGTGAAGTGCCTATTTCAAAGAGTAAGAAAGTAATAAGCGTTTTTAGTGGTTCTTGTTGAATATACAGTCAAAAGTCTTTAATCCGGACTCGTCGGGACTTCGGCGATTCCGGATTATCGGTTTTTCCGGATTATAGATCAACAGTTTATATCTGGTAGAATGGCATGCAGAAATTATAAAATTAAAAATATGAAACTGTAATTTGTGAAATAAGAGAGCAATTATGATCTAAAGGGCATCAAAATTTACAAAAAAAATCTGATGTGTACACCACATGACTTCCTTGTACGGAATATTAAATTATACACATTTTTTTCTTGAATTTCATTTAAATTGATTGGATTGAATTAAATCTACTTCGTCGACAGCGCATAAACCACAATAGAATAAATGCATTCTTTAAAATTCACTATATTTGTTTAATATAACGACACTCTGAATGCACAAAATTTATATCATTTGAAGAATTATCATTGCCACATGTTCTATTCAAATACTATAATAAAACTAAAACGTTCTATGAAAGAAATTAAGCAAACAAAAGAGAAAAGAAACAGTTTTTCACAGACGATTTAGTATTTCTCATTCAATTAATTCAGTTCTCACTTCGTGACAAGGCAAAAATACATAAAAACTCAAAATATCTGCATTAAAAATTACGAAAAATCTTAAACACTTATTTCCTTGAAAAAATTCCAGAAAGGATTAAGTATGATTTAATTCGCAATAATAAATGAAGGCATTATTTTTGTGTTGCGAAGCTTAGTCGCTCTAGATTGGCAACAAATCTACAATTCTGCTGTTTCAAATGTAAACAAATATGTCTGCCAAGTTATTTAAAACTTAACTGCACTTAAACAGCTTTTAAATTGTTGATAATTGTACAAATATTGCTTTCAGAATTACGAAAGGTATAAAAATCTTAACCGGAAGATAAGAACAACATAATTAAATCATTTTTAAAGCAAAAAATGTACAATTTACAAACATATAAGAGTAAAGAAACTGAGATCACTGAGCCGGGTAACAGAGTGGATATATATATAAATATATTTATATACGTTTGGTGCGACCGATTGCAACCAAATCACGAGGTGCACATCTACATGTTATAGCAGTCCTATATACAAAATTTCAACGTTCTGAGGCTACTAATTTTTGAGTTATGTGAGGTACGTACATACGTTCGTACAGACGCCACGAAAAATTCTCTTCAAAATTAATTTTAAAGCAGTTTTATAATTTTTTTGGAGGAAAAGAGTCTTTTATTCTGCCCTTACGTACAGATATCACGCAAAAACATTGTTAAATTGCATTCGATAGCGGTCAAAATGGATATTTTCGTTGAAATATGTTGCCTGAAACTTTTCGCGATTACAATATTTCCTTTTTACTTCGTACAAGGAAGTAAAAAAGCTTAATATTTATTTGTTTACTTTATTAAACATTTCTTTCAATGTGCGCATGTGTAAAGCATACATTACGCATAGTCTAAATTAGAAAATTGCAACCAAAAAACTATTTCATGTGTATTCGTGATATTTATAATGACGAGGAATTTGATTTAAATCATATCACAGACGGAGTACATCGACATGAAATACTACATTTAGTAAGGAATTATAAGCCAAATAAAATAAAAACATCTGCCCTTAAGATGAGGATAGTGCTGACAGATCAACTTCCAGTTCATTGCTCGCCGCGATGTCCCCACCCTGGCGGAGCAGCATCAAATTGATAAGCAGATTTCGGAATGGTTAGAGAAACAAAGGATATGCCTTTATCCATTTTTTGCAACAATTCCACTTTTTGTTTGATGGACATCGAAACATGCTTTTGCTTTGTAGATCCTTTGGCAGCTCCAGAATCGGAAATTCTTTTTGACATAATCGAAAGTTCAAACTTACTTTTATAAAACTGCTCTAACAGTCTGCAAAAAATAATAAGCCAGATCCAATTAGAAGATTAAGGAACAACGCAATCTGCAACATTAACTGAAATAGATAATTAGATAATTTTAGCTTAGCTTATACCGTCCGTTATACATTAAACGCGCATGCGTTTAGTTTGTAGCTTTGAGGTCCGGATTATGGACGTTCGGTTTAAAGACTTTTGACTGTATTACTAGAGAAGTGCCCATTCTTTTGAATAATGGATTGAAAATTCAACAATGTTCATAATAAAATTAAGCAGCAAATTTTTGATCATTTTTAATTTTTCAAATTATAATTGTTGCCGCTATCTTTATAATGCCATTAATATTCCGTTTTCCTTATTCTAGCTTCATAAAAGTAAATAACTTCAAGAATTATATCCAGGACTATATATATATATATTCAAGAATAGATAGAATATACGTATTTCAAAAATTATTATTAATTTTGATAAGGCTACCCTCATAAAACTTTAATATTCCATTTTCCTTATTCCTCATAAAAGTAAATAACTTCAAGAATTATATCCAGGACTATATTCTCTTCAAAATTAATTTTAAAGCAGTTTTATAATTTTTTTGGAGGAAAAGTGTCTTTTATTCTGCCCTTACATACAGATATCACGCAAAAACATTGTTAAATTGCATTCGATAGCGGTCAAAATGGATATTTTCGTTGAAATATGTTGCCTGAAACTTTTCGAGATTACAATATTTCCTTTTTACTTCGTACAAGGAAGTAAAAAGTATATATATATATCCAAAAATAGAAGTATATATATATATCCAAAAATAAAGAGAATGTATGTATTCAAAAATTATTATTAATTTGATAAGGCTATCCTGATAAAACTTTTTTGTATCCTTAAAGTTTGATTAGGTGAACTAAATACTTATCTAAATTTATTTCTTAAGGTTTTGGTATAGGTTGGTTAAAAATATGAAGAACTCATATTATAGCTAGTATATTTTAAATGATATAATTATGTATAGAATCGAGTTTCTTACTTTGTTTTTAAAATTAAGTGTTGTTTTGAATACTAAATTTTAATTGTTAGCATAAGTCTGTAAGTGTTAAATAAATACCGAGAAAACGTAACACTGCGTAAAGAGTCGTAAACACTGCATAAAGAGATAACACTGAGTAAAGAGTCATGTATAAATCAGATACATTTGAATTTGATTGTTTATTATAATACTAGTTATTTCCTAAACGTTAGAGCCATTTTCCTTCCTTATTCTTTTTAGCTCAAAAATTTCCTTTACCAGAGGCTATAGTAAAAATTTTAAGAAATTTGCTCGGACCTCTTATTTACACAGTCACAAATCATATGATCTCTCAAATGAACTATAATTCCCAGAGTAATATTTTATGTCACAATCATATTCCAGTTAATCAGCTCTCAAATATAGTTCTGTCGTACTTTTAACTTAAAGACCTTCACAGAAACTTCTTATACTTTTTACCATACAGCATATATATAATTAAACTTACCTTATGCTACAGTGCATTTTTTTTCCTGTCATCATATCAATATTATCCTCTCAGTTTTGCTTGAAATAATGTTCAAAAAGGACATTCTCATTTTAGATAATACTCTCGCATTAAAAAATAATAACTTTCTTATATCACAAAAAATTTTATTTATTAAAATTAATCTTTTGTAACCTACTTCACATTTTTTACAATAAAAACGAGTTTCTTTTCTTATTCTCTTATTGTCACTCTTCTTACGCCAACAAATAAAACCATAAAATTCAGTTCAAGTTAAAATCAAATATATTTTTTATGCATACTCTTACATTACATAATACTCACCTTTATACATTTATACCTCCGTACCTACTTTATACCTCCATATACATTTGCGAGACAATATTTCCCAAAATTATTTACAAGTGAGTATCCCAGGAGTTTACGGCAGATATATTCTGTTTTAAAATGGAAATGAAGGGAACCCTAAGTTTAAAATATCTTGAGACAATTGTCCAGGGATAAGGAAAGAATTATCAGAAGATGAAGATAAGCCTTTTCAATACAATAGCGATAAAGATCCTGAATGGATGAGTTCATGAAATGAAAACAATGAAAATACTATTCAGAGAGAAGTTGGAGTTATATTTATTTAGGAAAACAGAGAGGATTTTAAGCTAGACCTATTGGGGTAATATACTCCAAGATTAAAAAACCAAAGTAAGGACTGTTTTAAAAATAAGGGGGGGCATGCATTTTGCTTACAGAATAGCACCCCCCCCCGAAAAAAAAAGAGAAAAAACAAAAAACAAAAATCATACATATAATTATTTTTATAAAATAATAATAAATTCATCGATACTTAATTATACATCTAAATGATATAATTCTTTGATTTTAAAGTGCATTTTTTCTCCCATACAAACACTGATAAAATTGGAATAAACCGTTGAATTGATGAGTCTTAGCACTATAGAATTTCCTATATTGCAAACTATTTGGAAGTAATTAATTTCTGTAGATTACTAATTTAAACTGATATATCATTGTTAATAAATAAATCATTGACTTATCACTGTTAATAAGTCAATTACAAAAAAATATATGCTATATATATTTTGGGATTATTTCATTAACTTTTATTTGCTTCAAAACAATGCCCCCTCGTTGATATTGATATTTAGTGCTTAATTAAGTGAACATGATTTAAATAATTTTTAAATCCAAATTGCAAAGAATACCTTTTATGATTTAATTTTAAACAAAGATTCATCTTTGATACTGTTAATTGATAAATGAGCTATGCTAAGTGCTTATGAGCTGACTGTTTGCTTATGAGCTAAATATCTAGAATGCTAAGTGCTTTGTTTTATACAAAATAGAGAAAATGCAAGTTATTTGTAGTAAAATTAAATATCAGCTTTAATCTAAACTTTACATCTGGCAAAAAGAACTACATCTAATTCATCAAATGATTGCCAAATGTATAAACTCAGTGAAGAGACATTCGAGATAGTTTACTGCATGGGAAAAGAAATCGTAATTCAGTCATTGTAGCCTTGTACATATTGTCAGATTAACCTGACTAGCAAGCTGTTTAGGGCTTGCAAACTTATATATAGTGTTTGTAATGGCTAACAACTGGACAGACTGCAGAAATGCTTTGAATGTTATCTAAAAAAGATATCATATCTCATTGGGACAGTGCAAAACCTCATTAAAAAAAAAAAAAAAAAAAAAAAAAAAAAAAAAAAAAAAAAAACTCAAGACTTCAAAAATTGAGGCAATGTGATACATAATTAACGAGACATTCTTCTAAATTGGCCTATCAAATTACCACTATTTTTAGGAATTTTCAGAATAAAGAAGAAGAAAAGAAACAGTTTGTTTCATTTTCCAGCTTGAAAAACAAAGTTGAATACAATTGAGTTATCAATTATAGAAAATACACTGTTATGAAGCTGCATGCATTTCAATTGGTTAATAGCTTTATTTAAATACAAACCTTTGAAGACTGATAAAAGTTTGCTACACTTCTTAAAATTGGTGTTTCAATTCTTGTGGACAGAATCGAAGTTGGTGCATTCATTGTCACATACCCGTAACATAGTATAATAGTAGCTTTCAGTTTTTCATGATCAGGATCTCCAGTAAACTCCTTCATAAAAAAAAGTGTACATAAATAAGTATCTCCAATACCATAGAAGCACAACTGCAGAAAAATATTTTAAGCAGAATGTTAAAATAGATAACAGTGGAGGAAAAACAACATAAAATTACATTTTAATTCAATCAACAAAGCTTTAAAATCACATATACAACAAACTTCAATAAATAAGATCAAAATACTCTTATGATGGCTTTTTGTGCACAAGTACATGCAACTGTGTACTCATGCATAGGACTGAATTTTTAATAATATTAACAAATTTCCATTGACAATACATAAAAATTTTCTGACATTATCACAGTAAAATGCTTTTTTTTTTATAGAAGTCAGATATTCGAAACTGAGCAATACAATTAAATCAATTAACATTAATATAAAATAAAATTTTACAAAAATATCAAATAAAAAATAATTAAAAAAGTAAGAAACAAGACTTAAATATTCTGAAAATATGTAATAAATATACCATATTTCAAGATACGATATTTAAAAAAAACTGAAAGTGTTCATATTTCAAAAGTTGGACAAAAGATTAATATAGTTTATCAGTACAGATTATCAATAGAGACGGCCCACATGTAACAACAAAACATTTTACAGAACAACTAGATGACTATATATTTAGATTAACATAAGAACATTACATATCTTTTCTATATTTTAAAAGTGAAAAAGGATATAAAAATGAATACAAAAGACTGAAGACATGATATAATGCTATTCAAAGTACATTACTTTAAACATTATATGTCTTTATTTTAATGCGTTTCTGATTTATTTTTCACCTTAATTTTTTATGATATATGAGATAAAAATGCTAATAATAAATGAACATCTAATTTAAATTTTCCCCCTTCAAATAAAACTCATTCTGCTCTTGTGAAAGATAAAAAATTTGCTTTTATCTTCCAAAATACAGCAGGAAAATAAGACAATAAAAATTCATTTTACATTTTAAATAATAAAAATTCATTTTATATTTTATTACAGTACCTATCACTTATTAAAATCCCTTTTATTCCAAATATATTTGAGTTTATTAAGCAGTTGAATTTAATATGACGGAGATTTGTGTATTGCAAATTGTGTTATCAATTTTATACTTTTCATGTAAAATAATAACTTACAAATAATTCAATAATGGATTTTAAAATAATAATTAAAATGTAAATTATTAAGCCTTTTTCTTAGAACTTGCACTACTTTTCTAGATTCGATTGATATTTACATATCATCCCTTTTTTTTGTATCACTTTCGCTGTCAGTTTGTGTAGTTTTTTTATCGCTTTCATAGTCGGTTTTTATAAAGGTTGTCTCAGTATTGCTGTGAATTGACACATATTCTAAAAGTTAATCTTTATAGCACTTCTTTGAACGATCTCTGAAATATTAGTTTACAGTTCCTCTGACTCTTCTTCTACATAAAAGCCCCATTTTCAAAAACAATTTTTAACTCCCTGCACTGACTATAGTATGCATGGCAGAGATATCGACTTGTCTGTTTCAAAATGTTTGCATTTTCACAAAATTCAATTCTATTCATCATTTTCTAAACATTTTTCCTGTAATGACATTTAAAAGCTTTTATAATGGCCTAAAATTAACCAAATGTAAGGAGTTGTATTTGCAGGAAGAGACACTAATATTTTCAGAAAGAGATCAGATGTGTGCATGTTACACAATTATCTAATTAGTCAAACTATTTTTTCATTTTTCAGTTCGCTATCTCATTTCAAAAGAAAATCAGTAAAAATACAACTTGATGTACGTGTGAGTAACACGTGCATACGAAAATATCCCTAACATTAAGTAGGAAAGCCGAAATCTTAGTTAAGATAGACATGTTACAATTAATAATCAAATTTAATAAGGAAAAGTAACAGTTGCCGGGTACATTATAACGGCTTAAGAAATTCAGAGCACAGTACAGATGCGAGTACACAAGTTTACATTTCTCGGCGAAAACAGAGACGCACACATTTGTTGAAGTAGTTCCACTTGACTGCCGGGGAAAAATCTTCTCTCTCCGTCAGCCTGTAGGTTTGCCAAACGGGTTTACTGTTTCGCCAATTGGCGCTTTTCTGTACAGTTTTTAAGTCCGTATCGCCTGTTTGGCGCTGCCGCTGCATACTCCCTCCGCAGTGTCAACGAAATGTGACATACCGATGGGGTCGGATTAATCGTCCAGAACGGGTGATACACCAATGTCCTGAAGTTTTTTTCACACTCTTGGAAGCAACTTGAAGAAGAGTCCATGGTTACAAAAGCGGGTTTCAGTCTATCTATGGAGATCGTTTGCTTAGTCCCTTTTATTTCGAGATCAAACGTTTTTATCTCGTCTTTCTAGCACATTAAATGGTCCATCATAAGGAGTTTGAAGTGGTTTTCTAACTCCGTCGTGTCGAACAAACACATATGTGGACTTGTGAAGGCGTGGATGAATGAAACATGTTCGCTGGCCGTGGCTAGAAGTCGTGGTCGGGCGGACACTGGCAAAGTGAGATTTTAAATCCTCCACAAACTGTTTGGGGAACGCATCCGGAGGTGTCGGATTGAAAAATTCTCCTGGGAGACGGATAGTCTTTCCATACACCAGTTCAGAAGTGGTTGCTCCTATGTCCTCTTTGAGAGCGGCGCGGAAACCCATCAGCAGCGTTGGAAGGGCAGCCACCCAGTCACTGGTATCGTGCGCTTTTAAGGCAGCTTTCAAAGGACGGTGGAATTCCTCGATCAGTCCATTCGCCTGTGGGTGGTACGGAGACGTCCTGATCCTCTTGATTCCCAATAATTGGGAAAGGGCTCGAAATAAGCCGCTTTCAAACTGTCGCCCTTGGTCGGTAGTAATAACAGTCGGACAACCAAATCGAGTAATCCAGTGGTCATAGAAAACCTGTGCTACTGTGCGTGCTGTTATGTCTGGTAATGGGTACTGCTTCGGGCCATCTAGTAAATCTATCTATCATAGTTAGACAGTAATAATAATTATTTTGAGAAGGAGGTAGGGGACCAACAAGGTCAAGGTGGACGTGATCAAACCTCTGTGATTGGTCTGGAAACTTCATTAACGGGGTTCTAGTATGCCTGCTTACTTTTGCTTTCTGGCACGGAATGCACTGCCGTGCCCATTTCGCGCAATCTTTGCGGATGGAAGACCAAACAAACCGTGAACATACTAACTTTGTTGATGCGCGAATGCCGGGGTGAGACAAATTGTGCAAGGTGGCAAAAACTTTCTCACGGAATGCCGGAGGAATGTAAGGACGGGCGTTACCTGTTGACACATCGCAATATATCGGTAAGCTACAATTCGGTAAGGTAACTTTTTTGAGATGTAGAACTTTTGACTCTTTAAGCAATGTTTGTAATTCTGGGTCGATTTCTTGCATTTTAGCGATTTCCTCATAGTCGATAGGGTTAGGCATGCTTATTGCTTCTATACGCGAAAGTACGTCGGCAGCGATATTCTCCGAACCTTTTATATGGCGAATTTCAGTGGTGAATTGTGAGATAAAGTCTAACTGCCTAGCCTGACGAGGTGAACACTTATCCAAACGCTGTCGGAATGCATACGTGAGCGGTTTGTGATCGGTGATTAAAGAAAAGTTCCGTGCTTCCAACATATGCTTAAAATGCCTAATAGCAGCATAAGCTGCCAATAGCTCTCGATCATACGCACTATAGTTCCTTTCCGCCTGCGAAAGCTTTCGTGAGAAAAATGCGAGAGGCTGTAAATTTCTATCAACTATTTGTGATAGCGTTCCACCGATCGCGAAGTCTGACGCATCAACCTGTAAAACCAACTGGGCATCTTTCTTCGGGTGTGCCAAAAGAACAGCATTAGCGATTAGCTGTTTGCACTTTTGAAATTCACTCCGCGCTTCCTCAGACAAATTCAGGATTGTCTTATCATTTTTCTTAGCCCCTTTTAAATACGAAGTTAAATGTATTTGATTCTGGGCTACGTTGGGTAAAAATCGACGGTAAAAATTTAAAAATCCTAAAAATCTCTGCAAATCTTTTACCGTTTTAGGAAGTGGGTAGTTAAGTATCGGTTCCACTTTGTTCGTCAGAGGCTTGGTACCATCTTTATTGATTATATGGCCTAAAAAAGATATTTCCGGAACGCCGAAAACACATTTCGAAGCGTTAATTGTCAATCCATATGAAGTTAATCTTTCAAAAACAGTACGTAGGTGAGATTTATGCTCATCTTCCGTATCACTAAATATCAAAATATCATCTAAGTAGACGTAGGCGAATTTTAGATCTCCAAGAATTTCGTTCATAAACCTTTGAAAGGTTTGAGCTGCTCCGCACAGTCCGAAATTTAAAAACGGAAATTCGAAAAGACCAAATGGGGTGCAAACTGCAGTTTTCGGTATATGATCTGGATGGACTGGTATATGATGATATGCCCGAACGATATCAATTTTTGAAAAAATTGTCTTTCCGCTAAGCGTATTATTAAAGTCTTGTAAATGCGGGATAGGGTATCTGTCGGGTTCGGTGCACGCGTTTAGTTTTCGGTAGTCTCCTACTGGCCGTATGTCGCCCGAACTTTTAGAAACTACATGAAGAGGTGATGACCATGCTGATTTTGATGGTCTACAAATACCTTGATCTATCATAAATTGAAATTCTTTTTTTACTGCTTCGTATAACTTAGGGCTTAACCTACGCGGTTTACTGTGCACACAGGAGGACCGTTTGTTTCGATGTAATGAACCGTACTATGCTTTACTCTACCCGAATCGGATTTTAACTTCAGTACTTCCGGAAAGTCTTTCAAAGATTCTGTGATATGGTGAATCACCAGATATAGTTTTAATACTTATACCGAAAAATAATTTTTAGAATCGTAAAGAGAACCAATACGAGTTAATTTCGTAGTATTATCGATAAGCCTACCTCGTTTTAAATCGATTAAAAGATCAAAGTATGCCTTAAAAAAGTCGGCTCCTATTATAGGCACTGGTACATCGGCGATTAAAAACTTCCAAGAAAAGTTTCGTCTAAGTCCTACATTCACAGTTAGTTAACAATTTTGTTCCATACGTAGAAATTCTGGAATTATTCGCGGCAAATAATTGAAGCGAATCAGGATGCATTTTCTTAAATTTAGAAGTCGGTGTCACACATGAAACATCCGAGCCCGAATCAATCAAAAAGTTTAAATTTAGTCTGTTATCGTAAACATGTAAACGACATGGATGCGCGACTGCCGATGAATTTCGATCGACAGCCGCTACTGCTAGTTTTCCTGCGCCGTAGTGTTCTGAGAACAGGAACAAGGTGCTCGACATTTTCGTGCATTATTACCGAATCACGAATGAAAATAACAATAATTGTTCACACGCTCTCGGGAATGCCCACGCGAAAAACTACGTGCTGTGTTATGTTGATCCCGGGGGAAATTATTCCTCGTTTTTCCGCGGGAGAGTCGCTCGACTTGTTTACTTAGGGCAGAGATTTCACTCCTTAAGGCCTTAAGCTCCTCGAGGGGGGCACCAGAATCGTTAGGGTTTCTGGGGGAACTCGCCGAAGCTGCCTGGACCGCGAACACGCTGTTGTTCGTTGGCGTGCGCACTTCAGCTATCTATTATCAGCCATTTTTGCTAAATTGTCTAAGGATTCCGAACTTATTGATAAAATGGCATGCACCTCGGAAGGTAACCTTTGCAGCCATAATGATTTTAAAAATTCGTCAGTTATACAGTTTCCACCTAATTCTCTCATTTTTCTCAATAAGTGAGATGGTTTGTCGTCCCCTAAATGCAATTCAGAAATAAGTCTGCGTATTTGCTCGCTTTCCGAATCTGAGAATTCTACTATTAACCTAGCTTTAAGGGCATCATATTTAGCCGTCGCTGGGGGATTAAATAAAATATCTGATACTGCGGAAAGAGTTTCAGGGTCTATCGAAGAAACCACGTGGTTGTATTTTGTACTATCGCTACTAATCTTCGCTAAAGCAAAGTTACTTTCAACTTGAATAAACCAAAGTTTAACATTCTTTTTCCATAAAGGGGGAATTTTAACTGCCACGTGTGCGATTTGTGGCTCCTGAACCGCCATATTCGATTCCTCGTTGGTTTGGCCTTCCGATCCTGGCATGGTTGCCAATTATAAATATATCGTAAATCGTAAACTTAATGTTTTGCACTATACCTTATCAAAACAGTATCAATTTAGAATAAAATAATGAAGACATTCAATATCTCATAAAATAAAAGTGTGAGCACGAATATTACCCAAAGATCAATTTTAAACAATCAATAATTAAATTAAAACTATAATTTTAGAGCAAAACATATCACAAAACATAATTAAGACCAATCACAGATAATTAAAAAAATTTGACCACATACCTGTAAATTCTCCTTAAGTGTGATAAACCACGTGTAATCCGTACGATAAAATGAGGAGGAAATAAATAGGGTTGAGCCTTTATCAGTCATAAGGAAGAGCATTGGCATCAAAATAAAGCATATTTTTAGTTTTTAAACAAAGATTGAGACAGATAGTCATTAGGGATCGAAACAGAAGGAGCGAGGGACAGGGTCACCAATGATGTACGTGTGAGTAACACGTGCATACGAAAATATCCCTAACATTAACTAGGAAAGCCGAAATCTTAGTTAAGATAGACATGTTACAATTAATAATCAAATTTAATAAGGAAAAGTAACAGTTGCCGGGTACATTATAATGGCTTAAGAAATTCAGAGCACAGTACAGATGCGAGTACACAAGTTTACATTTCTCGGCGAAAACAGAGACGCACACATTTGTTGAAGTAGTTCCACTTGACTGCCGGGGAAAAATCTTCTCTCTCCGTCAGCCTGTAGGTTTGCCAAACGGGTTTACTGTTTCGCCAATTGGCGCTTTTCTGTACAGTTTTTAAGTCCGTATCGCCTGTTTGGCGCTGCCGCTGCAAACTGTTATCCACGAGTTCTTGCTGCTGTGATACTCAGAAGCAAATTCTTGACTCTTTTCAAATACCAAAGTTTTCTGCTTTTGTCAACTAGAAGTGCTATGTTCCTCATTGTTGGGTCCATATGGCAAGTTAATAACAAAGTAATTTATTCCTTCAATTTCTTAAACCAGCTACTGTTTCACTTTTAAATAATGTATGTTCTTTAATGCAATCCCAGTTTCATCTATATTATAAGTTTTGTGTGGCTTGCATTCACAATCGGCTTGTCAATCTGCCACTTTGTGATTACAAGCATGAATAATTTTTTCCCCTTTATCTTCAGCCTACAATTACTACTTTCATTTTTAAAGACATCTCATGTACAGCAGTGTTAAGCAGCATTTCATGATTTTTTTTTTTTTTTTTTTATATATATATATAATAATTCTCTGTGAACATAATATATCTATTCCAACGAGAAAATTTTGAATGTGGAAACCTTAAAAAATGGGATACTAAAGTTGCAGTTTTCCTTTCTAACAGCAGGAATTCTCATTCACTTACACTGTTTCTGCTTAAGAGGATTGCTAATCTTAAGATAAGGAAATTCTGCCCTTCTGAAATTAAGTGTAAGCAAAGAACTCTGAAAACAGGATTCACAGGTACAGGGACGAACAGGGTGTTAAAAAAGTTTTAATAAAACCTGTTTTAATGAAGTATTACATACCTGAAATATAAAGCCATAATCCACAATAGGTTGAATAGATGAACTACAAAAAGCTTTAATAGGTTCAAGTAAGATATTCTGGCACTAAAGAATAAATTTTTTCCAATCTGGGTTTAATAAATGGTGGTTTCTGTATTGATTAGCATATTACTTGGTTTGGTTATTGGAAATATGAATGTAATTAAGCGCCTGAATTTATTAGCCAGTGAGTTTAATAAACAGCAGGTACTGTACATGCTTTTGACTTGGAAATCGTTGTCAGATATTTTAAATTGTTCCCACCCTTACAAACAAGCCTTTTACCAAAATTAGATGTCAAGAAATATTGAATAATTTTAAAAGGATTTCTCCAACTTGTGGATTTGAAGAGTATTCACAAGTTATATATTCTTTACAATTTTAATTAAAAATTAACAGTTTACTTTGCAGCTTCTACATTTAGCATTTAGGCTTTCTTATTGAAATTTTGTATAACATTTTATCCATTGTAATAAGCCATGCAAAAATAAAGTACCTTAATGAAGCCAAATATTCCGGAATTCTTTTTGTCATCTTTAGCCACCTTCTCTAATTTCACCAAAACTATATCTAAATGTGTAGATGCACAATATCCAACAGCTACAGCACATGCCTAAGTTTGAAGAATGAGGAGAAAGCATTAATAAAAAATATATTACTAAAATCTGAATGATATAACAAAAGAAATATAGCAGCATTTTAATATTAAAAAAAGCAGTGCAAAAATACACATACCACTCTTTCTGTGACAACAGAATGATTAACATTCTGAAAAATTGCATCTAATGCTTCATTCACAAAATTCTTGTTGCTCACTTTTTTCATGACCAATCCAAGAATTTTCAGCAGAATGTACTAAAATGAAACCAACTCCAGTTTTAAAAACCATGAAATATGGATGTAATTTATTAAAAAAATAATGCAAAAACTAAAAGCCAACCTTATCTTCAGAAGCATTTATATACAATGGAAATTGTGCAACCAATGATTTTCCAAATTTTAATGTCCATTCTTCACGATCAATTTCTTCAAGAGTATCCATAACAAATTCTGTGACATTTTTTTCCCATATTTTCTGCTCCCAGTCCAAAGAATCACTCCCTGTAAAACAATTTAAAGTAAACACAAAATATTAAAACTTAAAACAAGCAGCAAACCTGAAGGCCATATTCAAAATGTTTTAACATTTTCTACAATTACAGATATAATACTTCGGTCTTTTGGGACAAATTCTTTAGAATTTGGAATGATATCATATGTTAATTTTCTTTAAGCAATCATTTTCAATTACAAGTTTTAGAAATAACATATATGTTGTTATCTCAAGAAAAATTAATACATAATTAAATATATACTCTTAAATATTAACAAAGAAGTTTCTAAACCCAAAGAATTCAATTTAGAGAATTCTTTGGGTATTATATTATTCAATGAATGAATAATATAATAAGTGTTTATTTAATTCTTTCAATTTCAGAAGCTCTTAAAACCTCTGTTCTTAGAGTCTGAAGCCATTTGCTGAATCCTCCCACTCCTCATTTTTAGTGAGTTTGCAGCCGTAAAATCTTCATGCATTACATGTTTTGTCATTCAGGTGTTAACTGCTTCATAAAATTTAACTACTTTGATGACAAGGGAATGACACTAACTTGTTTACAGTTGCTTGGCAAACAGAAATTGTAAGAGCTAGAGCAAAAGTTATCTCTTACTTCTATTTCTTCATATTTATGTCCAGTACGAGTTTAAGAATCATTTCACTAACAGATGCTATTTCCTATGCTTTTCTGATTTTTTTTCCACTTAATCCCGTTTTGTAAGTTTTTGCATACATTATCAATTTAGATGGCAAAACATGTAACAGCTTTCTGTACGAAGTTTTGGCGAGATTTCTTTGCCCAACTTATGTTTTGGAGGAGAAATAGTCATATTTTCGGATGGAAGCTCACTTCATTGCAGTATTAAAGAAATAGTAGAATTTTTTAATCAGAAATAAAATGCAAACATTCTTTTGAAAAGAGGTGTACTTATGATATTCGTTATAACCCATATCATTTTTATTTTATTGCAAAAAGCATATTTTAATAATATTTTTAGACACATAATAGTTATATAAAGAATTAAAGGAATAAAATTAAATGCATATGCATGAGTAAGAAATTTCATCTGAAACCTGTATGATTTAGCAACAATTTTAGTTAGTTATACAAAGTGAAAAATATAATATGTTCTAGATAGAAATATTGAATTACAGAATTTATTACGATTCATATCTTGATTTTAAATGAAAGATAACAATCTATGAAGAAAATAAAAAAAAAATTCTCCTGTGAAATTAATATTTGTTTCTTAGAATATCCTACATGATTTTGCATGTTCAAATTACTCCATATGGCAAAATTTTAGTGCTTATTAGCACACTATTAACCATGAAGTTAATTTAGAATATTAAATATGTGCTCAGTTTTAAAGTTAAATTTAACAAATATTCACAAAATATTACTTATGTAAAAGCTAATTTTTAACATTACGCTTACAGAATACACATGACAACCACAAATACCTATGGGCAGTTTAGTTAATAGACACTACATCTACAAATTCTGATACTTTTTAAAGACTAAGATTGACACAAAGTGCTGCTTTAGCTACAGTACCTTCTAATTCAATATAAAGTTTATACGGAAAACAAAAGTTGCAAGTATATTTTTTAAATAAAAATTAGTCACATTTATTTTGGGTTTATTTGGGAGTGAGAACTGCTTTCAAAACACATTTAATTTATTATGATATATGAATTTTTCCATAATTCAATAATCATAGTCAAATGCAAAAATTAAATGAATATTATAGTCATACACATAAACTGAATAAAACTGCTGCTTTTCATAAGCAACCCGCATCAAACTACTCACACACATAAACTAAATAAAACTGTGTTAATTGATGTTAAAAATAAAAGAAGTTTCCCCCATTAGATGAATTAAGTTTTCTGGCAAACAGAACTTTAGTCTTAGAAAGTCTGTATAAGTATACTAACCTGAAATCAATAATGCATAATCATGTCAAGGGAAACAAACATAACATAAACATAATAATGCATAATCATGTCAAGGGAAACAAACATAAGTTTAATTGTAATGTAAGCACATCGAGGAAAAAATATTAGCCCTATATTCTCTCTAACAAGGAACATCCTTCATGCAATTTTCTAAATTCCTTACTATGAATGTTTCAAAACGTATATAATTCAAGAAATTTACAAAATAATTTCAAGAATTGAAGTTGAGGGGTACGAAATTTTCAGCTATCCCCGGACACTAAAAACCCTAGTTACAGCACTATAGGTATATTCCAACAACAGACTCCTGACATCATTTCCAGGGGTACCTCAGGACAGGGGACCTGTTAAATAATTCCTTCTAATGGAATAACCATGGCTGGTTGACTTTTGACCTTCCAGGGGCAGGTGCTTGTGCAGCACCTATAGATGAGAATTTTGAAAAAGAACTAAAACCTTTTACTTACTAATTTCACTAATCAATTCAAAATGTGACTTTATTGACAATTTTTTAACTTTAAATAATAATTGGACTAAATTTTGTCAAATATTAAGTTTTGTTTCCAGGTTTGCCTATGATATAAAACATACCAAAGAGCCCAAAAAGGATAAATGTCAAAGAACTGAGGCCTGCTGTGGATGTGCTCGTAACATTAGTACAAAAGGTTGAATTTTGTGAAGAAATTTCTTGTTTAAAATAGAATAAAGATATTAAGAAATCTAAAGCCTTTTTCAGATGAAAATGAGATTCTTATGGACGTGGATGTTTATAAATGCAGACCTAGATCAAAATAGAAAAAGCATCCAAAACTTTTGCTTTCTCAAAAACTTACTAAAATTATTATGGAATTCCTCCATTAGAGGTATTTACATATAGGTCCTCAAACACTGTTACATAGCATCAGGCAAGAATTTTGACCAATAGAAGGAAGAAATTCACCTCCAAAATTGTAAATTAGAGTATAAAATCAGTTCTTTAAAAATAAACCTACAACTTCTGAGGAACTTCTAAAAAACCTGCCTGCAGAGAGAGAGTTAACCATAGTCGTCCTTTCTATAACTGTGCAATAACATTTTGTAGCTCATTTTTTATTAAATCACATTTAAAAACATTTGTCTCATTATTTGTATGCTTAGCAACTAAGAGTTAGTAACTTTGGAGTAGTAGTAAATTTAGATTTTTAGTAATATTTAGAGTTAGTAACAGACTTATCTACAGCTGCATTAACTGCAACTTTAAAACATTTCTTCACAAGATGAGGAAAAGCTTTTTGTTCATATTCTGACAATGCTAGTAACTTTGTTGGCACCAATTCAGAAATACAGAGGTTGCATAATCTAACTAGCTATCCCAAAGAAAGTTTAGCTAATTATCTAAGCTCAGAAAATATTAGTTGAAAGTTTATGCCCCCAAGGTCTTCTAATATCAACAGACATCAGGAATCTGGGGTGAAATAATTTAAACACCATTTAAGATGTGCTGCAGGCTATTATGTTTGAAGAATTTCTTACTTTAACCACAGAAATAGAGGCTATACTAAACAGTAGACCCTTTGTATCTAAGTCAACGGCTTCTGATAATTATTTAGTTTTGACAATTAGATATTTCTTAGTAGGCCATCCATTACTCTCTATTTCTGAGCTCAATATGACTGACACTTCAGATAATGTTTATCTGGATGGCAGAGGAAACCAAACTAGTGCAATTAATTTTGAAAAATTGATCTCGTGATTATTCAAATCACTTGCAATTAAGAAATGAGTGGAAGTTTTCAAAGAATAATGTTAGTCTGAATAATATGGTGTTTGCCTCCAATGAATGACTGAATTTCCATTGTGCATAGATTGTAAATAATGTATTTGTATCTGTATATGTTATTTTAATAAATGTTTGCCTTTTATTCACTAAATCTCCTTGTTTGTTAGGGGGGAACTGCATCAGTGTTCAGCTGTAATGTAAATGTAAAACTGAAATTTGAGATTTCAACATGAAATGCATGTTACATCATTAGTTACACCTATGCATTCATAGCCCCCTAACAGCATTTTTTCTATATACTTGGGAGAATAAAATTGTATGTTTGTTAACACTAAAATATTTGCAAGAATAATAATTAATATTTTATATGCTTTTAAAACAAATTTCACTTTAAACCTAAATAATATCTGATTTTTTTAAATAAAAATTACTTAAATTAGAAGCCTTACTTATGCTAAATAATGCATCAAACAAATCCTACATAAAACAAGATTTACAGACAAAAGCATGAACTAAACATATCAATCAAAAGATCCCTATTACCTTCCAATAACTGGAGTAAATTAGGAATTTTTGTATCCCATAATGCTTTGAGGTTTTTGTTGATAGCTGGTGCAACAACTTTCATAAATTTTAGAACATGAAATCCTCTTTCTCTGCCTTCATGAGGCTGGCCAATTAAAACAAGCAACCTTGCAAGAAGTGATTGAGATGATGTAACATTAGCTAGATGGGAGAATACATTAAATATGTACATTTTGCACTACTATACAAATAAATATAAACTATACAAATAGATATAATTTAGTTTTGAAAACTTAAACATAGAGCACTGTAATGCAATAAAATTAATGAAGGAATCTTTTTTTAATTGATATCTTTAGATAATATTTCCATATTGGTTTTTTTTTATTACAATGAAAATTATTTCTAAGAGGAAAAAAAAATGCTTATTAAAAAAGCACCAAATTTGTTAAAAAATATTATGAATGGAATTTAGTCATTTTGACTTGTACTTTAATAAAAATAACTAACTTAAAACTTTATAGTCGATTGCAAAATCAGTTCCTAGATCTTCTCTTTTTTTGCTTGCCAAAACGGTTACGCTTTTGCATATTGGACTTACTGCTGAAGTCAAATTTTCATCCAGTAAACCATCTAAAATATTTGGCCATAGTACCTGTAAGTAAAAGAGATCATAAACAATAGAACAATCAGAACCATGCTGAGAAATATAAGTTCATGTTAAGAATTTTAGGACTTTGCATGCTGTAAAAGTTGGCAACTATGTTCTGCAGTGGAAAATACCAGCTAAAAAATACAGTTTTCTGCCATAAAAGTGGATGAAATGGAAGAAATTAGTTTTTGAATATATTTACATTATTATTAGCACACCCATATTACTAATTTATATATTTTAATTCTTATATAATTTAACTTGCCTTATTTATATGCTTGCAGTAACTTTTTTGGTAATATATAAATACATATATATTCATGTAAATTAAATCAATATGTTTAAAATCCATTCCATATTCAATTCAGAATAAATCAAATGCAATAAAAAAAAATCTGAAATGTTTCAGATTTTAAATTACGTCCAAAGGGGCGTTTTTTAACATTTTGTGTGTTACCTTTCTTTATTAAATATCATGTTCCTCGCACTTAAACCATAAGATCCAGTGCAACAGCAATATCGCAAAATAGTTTTAAAACGAGCATATCTTTAGAATTTCTGATACAGAGACTCACGCGCTGGAGATAAAAATGTTTTTTCTGCACAACGTTGCCATTGCTCGCTTTGAAATCCTTGAGTTTGTTAATAAAAAATTCGTCAAAGTTTTAAAAAATAGGAAATCGATCATAAAACAAATTTCAAATTTGGTCTTCCACATGCTCATATTCGTTGGAGGATTACGTTATTCAAAATTCGATGACTCTATGTACCGTTGTTTTATCACAATACGAGAAATATACATACATTTATGCAGATTTTTCATTATTTAATTTCTTCAAATATAATGCAGGACTCTAACATTTTGTGGCAACAGTTTGAAAAGTGAACCGACATTTATGAGTCCGACGCAAAATGCCAAAACGAAACTAATAGTCCTTCGGGATTCAAATCCCTTTGGACTAATAATGATAAAAAGAAGTCCATTGATAAATTGCATGAAGGGTGCAAAAAATGTTAAAAATAAAAAATGTAGAAAGGAAAATGCAATTTACATCGTTCACTGCATCCTCAATCAGGGGAATGGTGCAACAAAAGAAGTAAACATAGATTCAGAAAGAAGTTCTGTATTGAAAATGGGAAGATTTTAAGTGTATCAGTTTAAGTTATTTTGCATTATATTATGTGTATATGTATTTTTTGTGTATTTGCTTTGAGATCTGCTCTCATATCTTGAGTTTACATTGATTTTGAATACGAATTTCACTTCTTTTCAATATCAAAAATAATAACAGAAAAAACAGAAAATAAAACAGAATTAAAAAAGAAAACTTACAAAACTTAATCTGCATCCTCCTAAAAGCAGAAATTTATTTATTATTATTATTTTGCAATTATATACAGCAATCTATTTTGTAATTCTCAACGAATAAATGCAAATGAACAGAAAATTTGTTGTAATCATCCTGTAATTAACTTTAATCTAAACTACACTGAAGTGACATATTCATTTAAAATTTCAGAATGATACATTCCTTTCTCTTATATAAAATTTAATGTTCGAAATTAGGCCAAAAAAGCAACTTTATTTTGGTGTAGATTTTGAATAAAACTCTACCAATTTCCATGGTAATCAGACACAAATCTCTCTTTTTCAGAATCATATTTTTTTTTTTTTTTTGGTCAAACATGAGTAGGGGGGGGGGAAGAAATCTCTCTCTCTCTCTTTTTTAATTTTTTTTTTATTTTTTATATATATATATATATAAAGAAAGGGAACTTGTGTTTTTATAAAGAAAGGGAACCTTTGAAACTGACAGTTTTATTTAAAGCCTATGCCAGAATAAGGCTGCATTATTTTTTTTGTCTTATTTTGAATTTTATATTACCATGCTTCTCTTCCATTTGATTAAGATTTAATACATTACAAATGGATTCATGGTAAAATAAGCTTTTAGAAGTGGGTGTATATTTGACAGGGTTGTAAATTTTCTCTTGTAGTTGAAAAAACAGGCATGAAAAAATTTATTTAAAAAAAAATTTCACATTAGTATTATATTTCTATGTCATTCATATATACAACACTACTATATTAATAATCAATTTAAATATTTTCATTATATGTATATGTAGCCTCATTTATATGCCTGCAACAGCCTATAATTTTCTTATTAGGCCAACATGTTTGAGGGGAAGGAACTTAAATAGCATATCAATACATGAAAATGAACTTATCCACACTTGCAATGATTTTTTTGAGGGACATAATTTAATTGCACAGCAACTTATTGTATAGATAATAAAATATTTATTTTCAAAAACTATTATTAGTAAATTTATCCTCTGTATAATTATTACTATTAAAAAATAAAAATGCTTTTGCTATCGCTACGAAATGTTCATCAAAGAGTTTTTATGTGCAATTAAAAAACCGTAATACTTATATGTACCACAGCCTAATTTAATACAAACTATTTTAAAATTTTGTATGTTCAATTTCAAATCTTCATTATTATTATTATTATTATTTTAGAAATTAATACAAGAGAGAAATAAAAATTATTAATTTTATTCATTTCCTCTTAATAATAAAAAGCAAAAATGAACATCATTATCTTAAAATGTAAGTAATCTGATGCATCTTAGAATAATACCTCCCCTTGTCTAGAGGTTGAGAAACTCAAATACAAGCCCATTACAGAAACATATTACCATTAAATCTTGGACACTTGATAAGTCTTGCTAATGAAAAAAACTGAAGTCTAAACTTTTTTTCATTATAATTATATGCGAGCCACGGTTACTAATTGTGGCCCACATGTGCCTGAGTAATAAAGTCGCTAAACACTCTGCGAATAGGTTGACTGCATAGGCATTTTTATTGTTTTCCCCATGTGTAATGTGCATATGAGCCAGTTTCCCATAGAAAGTCCTCCAGGAGGGCATCCCTCTCCTTAGACAAATAGCCTTCGAATGTTTTGCCGTAATCAAATCAGCCTACAACTAAAGTTACTAACTACAAAATTGCAAACCTGAATTTTTAAGAGAAAGAATTTTTTTAAATAACAAAATAAAACTATAATTCTTAATCAAAAAGAAAGGGGGAGAAAGAAGGAAAAGTTTCTCAGAAATTAATCAAAATATTGATTATTTGAGTAAGATAAAGTCACACAGAAACAAGTTATCCTCTTGTAGATATTTCTAGCAGGTACTGAATTCTAACCAAATAATTTTCTGTTTAGATAAATAATAAAAATAAGCTTTTAAATTTTAAGTGCATCACTTTAAAAGGGGAAATATATAAACTAAAAAATTCAATCATATGTAATATCTCACATTTTCCATTTTTTCCACAGTTGTTGTTAACAAATGCATCACATTTTCACACATTCCTCTAAGTGCTTCATTACTCACATAACTTGGATCTCCAGTTCGTTTTCCCTGATGAAAAAAAACAAAACTCTAAATTATCTTAATTATACCACTGAAAACGTTCACTGAAAATATTACACACCCTGGAAAAGAGTAAGTGAATTCATAGCAGAGTCCAAACATGAAAAAATTCTATTAAAAATACTCAGATAATTCAAAAGTATTTTATTATTTGAATACAAGATATCAAAGAAAACGTTAATATCTGGATTTAAAAAAATATATAAAAACAGGCATAGCCTTTATATATAAGCCCAATTTTACATATATATCCCATTTCTACTACAAAACACAGTCGTAATAAAAATGCAAAATCATCCTTTCAATGGAAGTATAACAGCTGATCTTTTAAAATTAGATTTAAATATGTTTATGCCTATCTATCATTCATAATTCTATCAAACATAACATATAAAACTACTGTTATGAACCTTCTAATGTTATATTATAAGGTTACAGCTGAAAACATCGCGGAGAAAACAACGCAATAGCAATTTTGTCGTGCTACAAAACATCGTGGGAGAAAACATCGCAACGAGAAAAAATCGCAGTTCTAAAACAATGTGGTACAAAACATTGTCGTCGAAAATAAAGCGGTTCAAAAACTTCGCAGTTTAAAAACATCGTCGTCGAAAATATCGTGGTAAAAAATAAAGTATCTACAAATCATCGCATGACGATAACATCGCAGACATGCTTCTTTCAGGCTTTAATAACTGTAAATGGATATTCCCATACTGATTTGTGATCGCAAGATGGAAAGAAGGATAATTTTTACTTTCATACTTTTTATTAACTAATAAATTTTTGCTGAGAAAATAAGAATGAAACTTAAGCATAGAAAATTAATGCAACTTATAGCACTTAATGGAATTTTAAACCGACATAGTTAACTAACAAAGACCATTAATAAATCATTTTTATAAAGATTTTACTGGTAATTTTTCATGAAAAGTATAATCTATAATTTGGCATTTAATTTTTTATGCTTAAGTTTCCTTCTTACTTTTTCAGCAAACATTTATTAGTTAATAAAATATGTGAAAATAAAATTATCCTTCTTTACATACTGCGCTCACAAATCATTATGGGAATATCCATTTACAATAATTAAAACCTGAAAAAAGCACGTCTGCGAAGTTATCGTCATGCGATGATTTGTAGATACTTTATTTTTTACCACGATATTTTCGCTGACGATGTTTTTAAACTGCGAAGTTTTTGAACCACTTTATTTTCGATGACGATGTTTTGTAGCACGATGTTTTAGAACTGCGATGTTTTCTCCCACGATGTTTTGTAGCACGACGTTTTCGCCTTGCGTTGTTTTCTCCGCGACGTTTCCGTCCGCGATGTTATCGGCGGACACCATATTATAATGTACAGATTTCAAGTTATTTTCAAATAATAATATTCACCTTGGCTATTATTTTAAAGAAATATTCTCCATACACTATAACAGTTTACATTAGTTATAAAAAATAAATTTTTGTATTCTGATTTGAATTATTCAAAATAAAAAAACTAAAGCATAAAAAAGCATAAAAAATTATTGAGCAAACTATTATACAAATTCAGAAATAGTAAAAGCAAGTGAAATTTTAAAAAGAATGCTTTAAAATTTCTACATAGTAAGAAATTATTCTGAATATTTAAACTGATAGTTCAGTGGACTTCATGATTTTCTGGATGTATATTACCTGTTTTTGGCATGAAGAACCAGGTTTGTCTTATCATGACCCCAGAGCCACTACTCTCAGAGTATGATTATAAAATGATATATGCAGCTATAGAAGATAAATTAAGGAGTATGTGCTACTTGATATATTTTGCTCCAATACATAATTTTTCAAATCTTTAACCAATCAATAGCTTGATTTTAAAGTTCAAAAGTTTATAACCTGTGCTATTTTTGTTAATAATCATTATAGCTTTTATTAATGTTATCTATAGTTCTTAAGCAGAAATTTTGAAACTGCAAGCCACATTGTTTTTAAATATAAAAAAATACATGACATTTTATGTCTTGAATAATATTTAATTTTCAATTATTCACTAGTGAATTTCATAATATTTAGTATTCATTAAAAATTGTTTAATACTGTGAATTCAATAAAATATGGATTCTATTACAGATTGAGGGCTCATTATTTACTAAGCCACTTATTAACTGTTTTCAGAAGAGACAAATCACACCTAATAGGGGTACCGGAAAGTAATGTTGCTTTCTTACATTAAATTCAAACGAATAAATTTGAAACAAGTTTTTATTTTAAATGAATATAATCACCCTCATTATCAGCAACCTCTTGCCATCTAGTATGCCGATTTCAATCCCAGACTGATAAAAATCATTGGTTTTTGAGTAAAATATCTCGAGATGGCATTTTGGACATCATCCAAATTTTCAAATTTTTTGTCACTAAGAAAATGTTGTAGGGATTGGAATAAATGGAAATCCTGAGGGTGCGATATCGGGCGAATATGGTGGGTGAGGCAGTACCTCCCACCCCAATTCATTATATTTTTCCAGTGTTCGTCTTGCACAGTGCGGTCTTGCATTGTCATGTTGCAGAAAGATGCTTTTTCCGTTGACAATCGCCAGATATTTTTCGATTAAAGATTGGTTCACTAGATCCAATTGTTCACAATAAAGGTCTACATTAACAGTTTTCCAGGTTTCAGCAATTCAAAATGAACAATTCTGTGAATACTCCATCAAACACCCAGAAACGCCTTTTCGGGATGTAAACCCTTTGTAACCCCTATTAAAACGGCCTTCTGAGTTTTGGATTATCATATAGGACTTATTTTTTTTGTCTCCACTAATCAAACAATCAGAAAACGGTTTTATATGGTGCCGTTGAAGCAATACGTTGCTTGTTGTGATGGAAGGTTGGCTTTGTTCTTTTTGGACAGATTAAGGGGGACTCAAACACCTGCCTTGCTTATTTTTCCATTCTGCTTTAAATGTTCTTGGATGGTCGACCAAGGTTGGTTAAATGTGTTTGACATGGATTTGCTTCCACTTCTGCCCTTAGCATGTTGTTGTCAACATGTGCAGAAATGACATTACTTTCCGGTCCCCCTATTATAATCACCTTTTAAATGACTAATCGATAATCATATTCTCTTACTATCACTAGTAGAAAAGTAGTTCTTCATTTCTTCAAAACACAGCAAAATCTCCTGCTAAAAATTAAATAACTGCTAAGAAACTTAAAATACTATTTCAAATACCATAAAATACTATTTCAAAGAAAAGATGAAGATTTTTTTCTTCAAAAAACACTGTATTAATATTATTATACACTCTGCCCATAAAGTCCTTAAGTGGCCTTTATTTTCACAACTGTTGGTCACAGAAATATACTTCTAATTACAAAAATGTTTAAAATAAATGAGCATATTCATATGCACATGATCTGTCATTTTTAAATTAAAAAATTGTAAAAATTATGAAATGTAACCTTTCATACAGTCTCCCAATACTTATAGTCAGTTAATTTTTCACTCATTATAAGAAATAAAATAGAGTAAGTTTGATTTCTATATGGCAAATATAGACTAAGATAAGATAGTGGTCTGTTAAAAAGTAAATTTAATTCAAAGTTGATTCCTTTCCCTTTATTCTGAAACAGTCTTTTGCGATTTATTAATGTGTATCATTCTTTAACCTTTTACTGCTGTGACAATTTTTTCAGTGTAATTACTGTGAGAAGTCTCACAGACCGCTTTGAAGAAATGCGTAAAAATACACACTTTTATGCCTTTTCAAGGAATGTCATAGATACTTTATGCATATTTATGGAATTCTAATTCATTTAAATCAATATATTTTAAACATAAATCATTTGATTTTACACAGTTAAATTTATATAATAATATGACTATTTTCTTCGTTTTAAGGAACAAAGTTTTTATCAAACATGCATGAAAATATGTGACTTTATTAAATATTACTGTCAATTAAACAATAATTCTACAACAGTGAATTTAATTATTAATAAATAATAGATTAGTATATCTTTGTTTACAAGGATAAATCATAGTCTGATATACAAAGTCAAAACACACTTTTTTTTTTGAAAGCACGGAAGACAGACTGGTTCCTTGCATTCCAAGCATTTGTATGTTGTTTTTCTCTCTTTACAAGGTGGGCACAGACTACATGGTTTTCTTCTAGTTTTTCTTCTTGATTTGATAAATCCATTCTCTTAATTTCCTCTGTCCAGGGATTCTTCTAATTGTTATCTTCAGTTCCCTTGGCAAAAAGGCTGAAGTCATTCCAATTTTCAGATGTGGTTTAATAAATTGATTAGCTAATAAAAGGATACATTTTTTTTCTTTTCAGTTTTGTAGCATCAGGATATGGCTGGAACAATATGTATGAACATAAATTCCAAGTATCTTCGGGATCTGCTCTAGAACCTATTTTTGCAGGATGTTTCAGACCAAGGAGCTGAAATATTATGTTATGTTTTGGTGTTCATATCTCCCAACTTGGTTCTTTTTTGCTTCATTTGAAGTGCTTTTGTCCATAATAATTATCATTCTGTTTACAGTCATTAGAAAAATTATGATGCTTATCTGCAGAAACTTTTGCTTTCGCTGTGAATACTACACAATTCTTCAGAATCAGAGTACTCTATGTCAAAAATATTGACAAGATGTTCAATTTCTTTTTGAGGTATAAGGGACGCTTTCTTGTAAAATTTGAAGCCATATTTATCACTTTTATGAAAAACAAGCATCCGATAAATAATGTCTATCGTCACTAAAACTGGCATGCATCTGCTGTGAGTGGTCTCCCAGGCACCTTAAAAAGTAAAAAATATGATAACTGAAAGCATAATAAAGCTAGAATTGTGAAACTGGATATGTGACCTTGTGTGACAGGCTTGGGAAGGTAGAAGAAAGGACAGGGACCATTCTCCATTTTTAGGCGTGGAAACGACGTTTAGAAAATCATAAGCGATCTCTCAGACTGCTCACAGCAGTTAAAGGTTAATTTATAATTTTGTTGTGTATGTTACAGTGAATGAATGTTCACAGAAATGTTAATAATAATAACATATTATTAACATTTTGATGTAATTTTATTACTTTAGATAATCTAACAATCATACAAGTAAAATTCATGAAACCAAAAAGACTTTTCATTCTTATTTCCTGCAAATAATATTATAAGTTGGTTATATGCCAATACTTTAAAGCCTGCCACTGTTTTTACGACATAATTTCTATAAAACTCTGTAAATAAAAGCTCCTTTTAGGAGGGGACATGCTGAATAATATTGATGGCAATCTGCAAAGTAATGACTTACCCCCAGTATCAACGGAAACATATTTCTAAATTTTTATTTTCAGTTATGGACAAATGAAAACATTTTGCTTTTCAACTTTTATATGACCCTTGAACAAGATCTCACACTTTAAAATTAAATATAATGGTCAATTTTTGTTATACTTAGAAGCCATATGAAAACTCAAATTTCTTAATTTTCACAAAATTGATTTTTTTAAATTTAAAAATGCTGTGATATGAATATTGTACTTATTTAAAGAAATTTTTTAAGTGGAAATATGTGTTTAGAACCAATAGTTGTAAAAATAAACACTACATAATGATTTTTATGGATACAATGTATAATTAATCTCAATTTTATAATTCATGAGTTATTCCAGCAATACTTTAAAAAGTTTAATGCAAGATACTTATTATTAATAATACTTCAATGAAACTTCTAATGATCCTTTCCCTCCTCTGCTAAAGAAGTTAGGTAGTTTCAGATTATCCGCATCCCAACAAAAAGTTGACAACTCAATGGTCACTTTGCAAAGTGGTGAAAATTTTTTGATTGGCTTGTTGTGTTTAAAAAAATAATAAAAAGAAGTATTTTATAAAAAACAAGAAATTTAAAGAGATAAAGAAAATTTTTTATGGCTGATATTTACACTATTAGCTGGTGGATAATATTCAGCAAAATGATAGTTTAATATAAAGCATATAAATCCACATGCACTGAAACATATGCATGATATGTGCTTGTGTGGGCTCGCTATTCTTGTATGCAGACTTGAAAATACATCAAAAACACGACAATTCCACTGAATGTTAAAAACTGAAGTGCAAATAAAAATTTAAAAACAAAAACTATGCTGAGATTTACAATACTTATACAATTTAATTCAGGAAGATTAAAAATACATAAACATAAATAAAATAAAAGTTTATACTTAAAAAGGAAACAATACATAAAATTAACTTACAGGTGGATCATCTGGTAGTGCACACTGATGTATGATAAACCAAACCATATCCAAACCTCCCTCTGATTTTAAGTAATCATGATGAGCTAATGTTACAATAACCTGGACAATGACTTTTTTAACCTGGGCAAAAGAAAGTATAAATGAATCAGTTATAAAAAAAAATGAACATTAGGAAACAAATGCTTAGAAAATTAATTCTTTGACATCCTGTTAATCCATGAAAAAAAAAAAAATTATTATAGAGAACTTTTTAAAAAGGTACAGCAGAACCTCAAGATACAAGCACCTTTATATACGAGAAATTCCAGATATGAGGAAAGTACAAGAGAAAAATTTGTCTCTAACTATGAGCACTGACTTGAGTAACGAGTACTGTTATTAAAATAATTATTTTGTGATGCCTCACAAGAAGATTGTTGGCTCAGATAGTGCTGCAAAGAGAAAGAAGTAAGCCATGGCCGCTGAAAGTAAGAAAGGAAGCATAGAGTGATAGAAGATATAAGAGTGGTATAAGCGTGGTATAAGAGTGATGGAATTGCTGAGGACTTATGGCTGCTCAACGTCGACGATCTGCACTATTTGGAAAAAGATGGAAGAAATTAAGTAACTTGATGGGGCCAAAGGAGTTACCGTTATATCCAAATCCCGTTGAAAACTCCTAGAAGATGCTGAGAAGCTGTTGTTGGTGTGGATTAATGATAGGCAGTTAAAAGATGATTCAGTGTTAAAAGCTATCATTTGCGCTAAGGCTAAGAATCCGTACTTAGACTTACTCCAAAAATCATCATTTATTATTTACCGGTGTTATTTATTAGGAAAATTGATTTATATGTTGATATTTTTGTGGGTGCGGAACAAATTATCCGAATTCCATTATTTTCAACTAGGAAGTTTGTTTCTAGATATGAGAAATTTGCCATACGAGCTCAATGCTGGAACAAATTAAACTCGTATCTCGAGGTTCCAGCGCACATGAAAAAATATAGTAACAAGAAACAGAAACATGAAACAACAGCTGAAGCAGCTGATAGCAGGATTGCAAATCTAACAGAATCCTAATATTCTATACAAATACAGCACAAAGTCCAAAATCTGGACATCCGTTATCCGGAATGATCTAAAATCCAGACTTCAAAGCCAGAAACTTTTTTTTTTTGGTATGCTTTACGCATGTGCATTTGATTTTCCCTTCCATAATAAAACGTGTGGAGATTTTCGCTTAAAAATTCTGATTCTTAATTTCACTTAGGCATTAAATAAAATACATCGTTATGAAAAAACAATCATGTGAGTATAAATTTGTGAGATTAATAATTTGGTTCCGCAGCTGAGTGTCTGCTTGGCATTACATTTCAAACCAGAACGCTCACCTATTTTATATCCCTGACAGCAACCTGGCGAGTTATTATTTATTATATTTTGCTTTCAACACCGCATATTTTATCAATACATGACAGCTTCAGTAATAACTCATGTCTAAACTTTTTTTTATATTAGTAATTGAATAACAAGAGCAAGGGAATCTTTTCTGCTGACATTACACTTAGAGATGATTATAGATTTTTTAAATGCTCTAAGAAATGTTAATGAGGAAAAATTCAACAAAAATTTTCTTTTCATATGCTAAAAATAGATTTTGTTAATGAAACTCATAGGCCAAAAGATTACATTTAATGTTATTTTAATTAAGAATAACTGATATGTTATTTACCATAAACTCAGAATCGGCGGCAGAATATGTCGGCACCGAACGGCAGAATTTAAGGAAGAAGAAATTTTTGGAATTTGGGGAGCACCAAGCTGCAAAATTAAGGGATGCGAAGTTTTTATGTACAGTCAAAAGTCGTTAATTCGGACACCCATAATCCGGAATGATCTATAATCCGGACCTCAAAGCTAAAATCTTTCTACGCATGCGCATAGGCGTTTACGCGTGCGCGCAAGACCTTTACAACTTGCATATGCGTCTGCGCAAGCGTAGAATACGTTTTCGCGTGCGCGTTTAATAACGGACGGTATAAGTTAAAATTATCTAATTATCTATTACAGTTAATGTTGATGATTGCGTTGTTCCTTAATCTTCGAATTGGATCCGGCTTATTATTTTTTGCAGACTGTAAGAGCAATTTTATAAAAGTAAGCTTGAACTTTCAATTATGTCAAATAGAATTTCCGATGTTGGAGCTCCCAAAGGATCTACAAAACGAAAGTATGTTTCGATGTCCATCAAACAAAATGTGGAATTGCTACAAAAAATGCATAAAGGCATATCCTTTGTTTATCTAACCGTTCCGAAATCTGTTTATCAATTTCACGCTGCTCTGCGCGGGGGGGGGGACGTCGCGGCGAGCAATGAACTGGAAGTTGATCTGTCAGCACTATCGTTATCTTCAGGGCAGATGTTTTTATTTTAGTCGGCTTATAATTCCTTACTAAATGTTGTATTTCATCTCGATCTACTCCGTCTTTGATATGATTTAAATCAAATTCCTCGTCATTATAAATATCACGAATACAAATCAAATAGTTTTCTGGTTGAAATTTTCTAATTTCGACTATGCTTAATGTATGCTTTACGCATGCGCGCGTTGAAAGAAATGTTTAATAAAGTAAACAAATAAATATTAAGCTTATTTTTTTGTAAATTTTGATACCCTTTAGATCATAATTGCTCATTATTTTATAAATTACGGTTTCATATTTTTAATTTTATAATTTCTGCATGCGATCTTACCAGATTTGAACTGATGATCTATAATCCGGGAAAATTGATAATCCGGAATCGCCGAAGTCCCGACGAGTCCGGATTAAAGACTTTTGACTGTATTAGTGAAAGCACTGGGATCCAAAGTTTAGGTACAGTGAAAATTTAGAACTTAGGAAAGTGCTTTGTAGCAAAATTTAGGACCTGTAGAGACTGCACCAGGCGTCGGCCCTAGATAAAGCCTTATGTATATGTGGGAGCTTATTCAGGACTCTGATTAGTTTGAAGCATGTGCAAGAAATAAACGTAGGTATAGTAAATAACTAAACTATTCAGGCTTAATTCAGCATGCAATAGGAGCAAAACAAAATTTAGCGAAACAACTTGGCTTTCGTCACCAATCTTGTCATACACAGCCAATAATGTATAACAGACACTATTAAGCTAGGCTAAAATTATCTTTACTGATTCTAAGGCATTTCAATTAATGTAGCAGACTGCACTGCTCCTTGATCTTCTAATTTGATCTAGCTTATTATTTTTTGCAGAGTATTATTATTACGGCAATTTTATAAAAACCAAGCTTGAACTTTTGATTATGTCGAAAAGAGTTTCCAAAGGAATGTGGGCGATAAAAAAAAGGCGAAACTATGTTTTGATGTCCATTAAACAAAAAGTGCAATTGCTGCAAAAAATGGATAAAGGCATATCTGTCTCAAAATTATGAGACTGTATTATGCCATTGTATATGACACAAGAAAAAAGAAAAAGGAACTTTTTGAATTTTTGGTGGAAGCAACTTAACCGCTTACCTTACAAACTTTTTTGAAAAAAATTGCAAAAAATCACCACATTTTTTATTTTATTATTAAATACAACAAAACGAAACAAATAAAAATATGTAGGTTTTAAGTTGAATTTTTAATTTTTTGAAGGTGTAAAAGCATTTATTTTTAATATTAAACTCAGGATAGTAAACCTCGGGATAGTAAATCTTTCACCTTTGTTTTCCGATATCCGGAAACCTTTAAAATTAGCAGCTATCATCTTTAAATTTAGCTATTCTTCACTATACATATTTGGCTATGCATCATGAGCTTGATGACTAACGACAAGTTGTTCCTTAAAATTTTATCTTGCTTCTATCGCACACTGAAACAATTAATCCTGAATTGTATTAGTTTAATTATTTATTATATTTATATCTATTTCTTGCACATGCTTAAAACTTAGAGTTCTGAATAAATATATTCCCACCATATACTTAAGCAGTATATGGTGGCTGCTTATTGAGGGCCGGCGCTAGATATCTTACCACCTGATGCAGTCGGTTTCTGTGGGTCCTAAATTCTGCGACTCAATGTAGCAATACGAGCCCTGGCGCTGGTTCTGGGTTATGTGAATAACAAATTGTTGGTATGCAAATAGTGACATACTGTCGCCAATAGCGTGATAAACATTATGAACTGGAAACCCTGCAAAGAAGTTAATTGTGTAACTCGTTCTTTACACTTACTTTTCTCACTCCTTCAGGAAAGTACAGTGATATGACACTCTCTATTATAGTGCAACTCCCTTTTCGATACATATTTGTGATACTAACGAATTTTAATCTATTTTCATGTATTAATAAAGAATGTGTTTCACTTACAATTTCTGTCTACAACCTTTTTTGGATTACAAGTTAATTAGGTATGATCTCGCTTGAAACTATGCTGGATACAAGGAAAGAGAAATCTCTTTGCTCTCTACTTTTATTAATTTGTTGTGAAATTTTGAGGCTATAAAAATGTTTTACAACAAAAGATTATGAGACTAAAGTGAAAAGATCATAGCTAATTAAATAATAATAAAGAGAAAAAAAACTGTAAAAGCTAAACTGTGGTTTCATATCAAAAGCGAAAATAAATTTTTTCGACAATACAAAAATGTTGAATTCAAATGAAATGCAAATTGCAAAACTGAATTCCAGCAATTACTCAACATGGAAATTCAAAATGCAAATGCTATTAATAAAGGAAGATCTTTACGATGTTATCGAAGATGTTCCTCCAAGCCCTATTACAGAACAATGGATTAAATGAGATCGGAAATGTCGCGTGATGATAAATTTATTTATCAAAGACAGCCAAATAATTCACATTAAACATGAAACTACTGCTAAAGCAACCTGGGGAAAACTTGGGCAGATACATGAAAGGTCTAATCTTTCAAGTAAACTATTTCTTCTGCGAAAGCTTTACAGTTTGAAGCTTGAAGAAGACGGAAATATGCAAACACATATTAATACATTACTGGAGTTATTCGATAAACTCAAATCAATAGGTGAGAACATAAAAGAAGAACATGTTTCGGCACTTTTGCTTCGTTCAATGCCTAGTTCTTACAATACGCTCATTACGGTTTTTGAAGCCAG